TCATAGAAGGCCCCGTGACCGCCACCGAGCACAGACCGCCGATACGAGGTTCATCTTACTCGAGATCTCCACATGAGCCACTAAAAAGGTCGGTACAAGGGATATGTATCGGAGTGGAGTAGGGTCAGAAACCCGGCCAAAACGAAGGCGAGTCTTTGAGCCGTGGCCTGGGTGACCGAATCTCCTTCGGATGTCCGGTGCCGATTTTCTTGAGCCGCGCAGGGCTCCCAGGATCCCTCCAAGCTAGAGGCGGAGCCCAATCTCTGCATCAAGGCCTTCAGCTCCGGCGGGCTGGGAAGTCTGTTGCACGTGACATATTTGAATAGAAGTTCCGTGGAACGTACATGTTTTTGGGATCTTGTGAGTCTTTTGGTCTCATGTCTGAAGTAGGGGCAGTCGTCATGTTCTATTGTTGCTTGCGTTGCTGCACTGCCCCGCACTGCCAATGCTTTTCAGATTGGCCATTTCTGTGCATTCAAAGACCTACGTGGGCAGTCATCCACAAGGGATCACATAGGCACCACGAACATGAAAGCGATTCTGTAGAGTGAATATTCTGGGCGAATTACAGGTTTTGGTGCGAACTCGCTCTTATAATAGGCATCCCTGGTTTTCGGTTGGTGAATTCTTACAAGTGCCCATATTTACAATGCCAAGCTGCGGAGGTCACTCCAGATCGAGATGCCGGGAAGCTTGGTTTCGTGAGTGATCGCGCTGTCGCACTTTGCGGCGTTTTGTGCTGCGAGCTCCAAGCCCATCAGAAAGATGGGCAAGGCGACGCAAACACTTCAGCATGAGGACACGAGGCGTCATTCTTTCAGGGTTTGGCCCATGGGCGATGGCGATGCCTAAGGCAAGGCCAGGAAGGCAGAGGGCCAACAGGCTAGCAGTAACATGTTGTAGCAACTGGTCCAACTGGTCCAACATTCTCATTAGGGTTTCCCTTCAGGGGTCCGTGACTTGGGTGTTTCAACCAGAATATTGCCCACCCTGCATAAGGGCTCTGGGTGGGGCGGAACAGCAAAGCATGCAAGCATTCCGCCACATGTGGCAAACATTGACGGCCAATGCATACTGCACCCCCTTGTCAGCTCCATATGTACTTGCAATCCAAATCCCACGAGGAAATTGGCTCGCAATTGATAGCACCGGCACAATCCAGTCGTTTTCCCCCAAGGAACAACGAGCCGAAGCAGCACCGATTCTCACGACACAATGTGTTTTGCTGATACTTGTGCGCCTCAAATCAGGGCAGTAGCTTTGTTTGACTGTTGAGCCGCCCATTGCAAGCGCCTCATGTTAGAAGGTTGCAAGCGCTGGGGCTCTGACTCAGTTGACCATGACATTCAGTGCCGCCCAAATAATGCAGGTGACGCTCATTTCTGTTTGGAAAAAGGGGGCCTGATGCCCAAAGTCTATCTGGCTGATTTGCAGTTTGCAGTGGCAAGATCTGGGCAAGGCCGGCACCGTCACCGTAGAGGACACGGGCATTGGCATGACCCGAGAGGAGCCGCTATGCAGTGCCAGCTTGTTGTATGTTGCTGTGGCTTTGCCTCTCTCCGGCCAACGCAGAGCTGCGCAGTACGGTCTCTTATGATGGCTTAGGACATTCATTGCTATGAGTCTAAGCTGATGTCCATGGGGCAAGTCACATTAATGCAAGTTCAGGATAGCGCAAGCTGCGACACCCCAAGGAATCAACCGGTGGTTTTATGTTGTCCAGTTCTTGAGTCATGTAAATATTGTTCAGCCCCGTGGGTTTTATGGATTTGCTACTCGCGTGTGTAGGATCCCAGCCCCCTCCCCTTAAGCCGTCTCCCTGAATGGGGTCCTTATTTGCTCCTACCCCAGCTGGAGGCGAAGCTGGGGATCCATGCTTCTAGAACCCTTTGTACATGGTGCCTTTGGCTTGACCAAATGGCCATGGGTCAAAATCCCGTGCCAGTGTACATCCCAATCCCTGCTAAAATAGACTAACATGGGTGGTGCACCTACCCCAAAATGGTACTATTGGTTTTGACCCACAGCCAAATAAGCTTTTCCACTTTTCGGAATCGAGCGCATTTGCTTAGTCACGGTGTCCACGACTCCTCTACGCGGCAACAATTGATTGCGCCTTTTCTAGGAGCCCTGTTGGGGCTGCTTTGTAGTCCCTTAAAAGGTATCGATCCTCCAAAACATCCCTCCACTTGATGGCTTTCCGCAGAGGCTCCAGAGATCTTCATGAGATCTGAAAGGCAGAATGCCCTTGAGGAGATGATCCTCCACCTGGGCACCATCGCCAAATCGGGCACCAAAGCCTTCATGGAGGCTTTGGTGCGAGTCATGTTTTGGGGCATCCATGTTTTCTGAAGTTGACCACCCCCTAGGCGGCCCTTCATGACTGCCATGTTTTTAATACTTACATCTGTAGATGATTGTTCTTGGGCTCTGACGGCCGGCAGAAGGGGCAGTTTGTCAGTTTGCAGGCGGCCTCAGCCTCCAGTGCTTCCCAAAGAACCTGACTGGAGGTTCCTGGATTAGACCATGTCCTGGTGGGTTCCACGGCAACGTGGGGACTTTGCCATCGATGTGAAGTTGTCCCACAGTGCCAGCCTGGCTTTGCCCGAAGACATCCTTGTCTTTTAGTATGGTCAGCACTTTCAATATCGAAAGCACCACAAGCAGCCAAGGCTCATAAGGCACAGACAAGGAAAAGAGGCCGCTTTCTGTTCAACAATCAGGGCGCTTCTCTATCTTGAGCTGAGCTAATCTAGATCTGCAGGCTGTGTCTGCTGGCGCCGACATGTCAATGATCGGCGCCTGCCTCAGCCGAGTCTGATGGTTGGTTCTATTGAAAGCCAACTCTGCCTCCATTGTAGCGCATTGTGCCACTGACCTGGTTTGGAGTCTTTTTGTGCTACTTGTCTGATTGTGGCCGTACTTAGAATAATGACTTCTCGGGGGGCAACACGGTGTTCTATCATCTCCAGCCAAATGGGTTTGTGGTCTCGGCCTGTTGCACTGTTTGTGGTGAATCAGGCAATGGCCAGCAGTGTTGCATCGCCTCCAGTTTGGATATCTGGGTTTCGTTTCAGCCCCCTTGCAATCATATTCCTGGGAGTGCAGGCCCTCCCCTCCGTGGAAAAACATGGCCTTCAGCGGGTTGAGCGATGGGCTTAGGCCAGTTCGGTGTGGGCTTCTACAGCCCGGAACCTTGAAGCATTCCGATTTGGCGAAATGCCGCAGGTCAGCATCCAAACATCCAAAAAGGGCGAAAAGGGGACATGTATGTTTTGACCAAGGATTGCTGTAGCTCGCTTCTGCCAAGGTGTGTGACCCAGGCATTCGTCTTTCCTTGCGGCCTCATTTTTTGACATCCTTGTAAAGCTCATTATTGGAGACCTCTTGATGGCTCTGGGCTTTCTGCCGTCGAGCGTGAAACTGGTTGGTCTGCTTGGGTGGGGCTTGAGGCGAAAGGAGACCCAAGAGCCTAGCAGGGAGAAAGATACGAGAATGTGCACGATTGCAGCAAATTCATCGGAGACAGGTCCTAACGTACACGTCCTGATAACACAGGATGACATACAACTGTTGTGTATCATCTCTTTTTGCTGGGCATATGTTCCCCCTTAGCGATGCCAGGGGGGAGGGGGCTAAACATGAATCCTGAATTGGCCAACACCAAAAGGTTTGATTCTTCACATTTGCGTGGTCAAGCCGTAGAAAAGACTTCAGCGCCGGCAAAGGGCAACCCCCGCTCCCTCTACTCTAATAGTTCCGCTTCCTCCAACTAACATGGCACCTGTGGGGAGGTATCTGGAAGATCAAGTTCCTTTTGAAGGGACCCCCTGTCAGTTGCCATGTTAGTGGGAGGGAGGGTAATCAACCAGGAAAGCTGAGTCACTGCCTACCATCCGCCTCATGGAGATACTTTTTCCTGGCACGGCCCAGCAGATGCAGCTCACCAGATGCGGACAAAATGGGCCAATGGGGAGTTATGAAAATGGATGAAGTTAGGAGGTTGTTGATAGCCATTGACAATGCCTGGAGGGGTTGATTCATCGGGAGCTGCCCAAAGGCTTGAGCTTCTCAATTGTTGGGGCATTGCTTGACCGTTTAGGCTCCTACTTGGTCTCCGAGAAGGTCCGAGTGGTCTCCAAGAGCAATGACGACGAGCAACACATCTGGGAGTCAACCGCTGGAGGCCGGCACTTGCTGTGTGCAGCGCGAGGGCGGCTTGCCATGCGAGCGGATCGATTTTGGAGGCATAGACGGTCAACATTCTGAAAGCCTGGCAGGTTCTGCCTAGACACACCTGAAGATTGAGGTTCTTTCCTTTTGCAGAGCCTTGAAGTGATGCAGCAAGTGCAGATTTGGGAGAAGGGCTTCGAGAGGCAGAGGGAACAACAGCTTGCAAAAACCCTCTCCTTGTTGGGCACAACACTTCTATTGTGGTGAATATAGACAAGAGCTGTATTTTCGCATGATTCCGGCAGGGCGTAAGAATTCTGGATCTTGCATTATGCCCGTGGCAGGCACTTTCCTTGTCTGGAAGGCGCGCCTGCCCGCGAGAGTGCAGAGTGAGGGCAAGTGACATCGCTTTGGGATGGGGCCAATGCCCAAATGAATCACAAGCTTCCCATCTCCTCAAAAAAAGCAACATGCTTCGCTCATTTGCTCGAAAAGCGCATGATCCGATCATGTGTTTCTGCAGTGATTCCTTTTTGAACCCTCGGAATGCTTCTTTGGATCTACCCCAAGCTCCTCTCTTTGTGCCGCCTGAGGATACCACCTTCGAGCACGGCGTCATTAGTCGAGGGACAAAGGCGCGCAGATGGACGTGGGCCGTGAGTGATGACGTCAGCGAGTGCTTTCAAAGTCCTTGGGTGAGGTTTGGTCAAGATATCGAGATAGCCAGTATGGGAGACTCACTGCATTTGGAGCAAACACCAGGGGAGTAACTGCATAGGTTGACTGGTTCACGTGCAGAATCGTGTGCAGGCTGCCTTGGAAAAGTAAGGTTAGGAAAAGTAGGTTTAGTGTGAGTGGTTGCTTCCAAGCTCAACTGTGTTGAGAAACTGAGAAGTCAAATCAAGTACCATTGGATGTTTGGATCCCAGGTTACAGAACAGTTTTTGTGCATGCCTGTGAATGTGAAGGTTGGCTGCGAAGGGGACTATCTTTATCCTCTGAACCTCATCGCAGGTGAACATGTGGCAACATGGCAGGCTTGTTTGTTTCCTTTGCGCTAGCAGCTGAAAGTGACTAAGTGGGCTTGTGAGCCGCATGGTGCACCGCCATGCTTGCTCCTGGTCCCGTGATGGGTTGGCCACGTCGTGGGGAGGAGGTATCATGCTTTAGTGGGATACCGGATATTAGCTCCGTGCTGCTGATCTGCTGCACAGTCCGCAGACCCGACTCCGTCCCCAATTCAGTCCTTCCTTCTCTTTCCAACAGCATGACCTCGCCGCAGCTGCCGTTTGAATTCGAACTTTGCTCTCGTCAGGTGATTTGCTACCTCAAAGATGACCAGGCAGAGCGCCTTCGTGCTTTCTGGATGAGCTGATCGTTTGGGCCAGAAAGCATGTCATTGCACAGGGAGAAAGGGGCCCACGAAAGCTGGCTGTCTCAGAAGGCACATAGACGTAGTTTCCTAATTGGTGAAACTCCGCCTTGCTCTCAGCCAGGCAGAATTTCTGGAAAGCGACCGCCTCAAGGACAGGCAGTTCACTGAGTAGAGGGAAGGCCTTGAGCATACAGGTCGCCAGCAAGGCGTGATGTGCATTTGAACTATATGTAATAAGATCGGAAGCCAGAAGAAGAGGAAAGCAAGAAGAAGACGAAGAGGCAGATGAAAAAGAAGACGAGGAATAACATGGCGCGGCGCAATGCTGGTGATGCAGGTGGTTGTGATGCTGGTGATGATGATGATGATGATGATGATGCTGCTGCTGCTGCTGCTGACGATGACGATGACGATGCCGATGCCGATGCCGATTCCAATGCCGATTCTGATGCCCTTGGCCAAGGGCTGCCAAAGTTGCTGCGCGAGGCTCGCCTGCAGCTGCTGGGCGCACCTGAAGCGAGGTGTTCGGCTGGGCTTTCCGCGAACTTCCCATCCCCTTCTTCTTTTTTCGAGGTTCCCGAGGGTTCTCTGAAGGTTCCCTTCTGCGATGCTGATGCCGATGCCGATGCCGATGATGATGACGACGATGATGAATTGAGGATGAAGATGAGGATGAGTATGAGGATGAGGATCATGACGATGCTGCTGCTGAGGATGAAGATGAGGAGGATAATACTGACGATGGCAAGCAATGCGCACAATACAGCTGTAATGGAGCTTCCCGGCGAGGTGCTTGCACAAGACCACGGCTCCTTGAATTCGCTTCACCGAGGTATGATCTGGACGTATGATAGCATTCCAAATTCCCCTCTTTCATGCCGAGTGTTGCTCCGCGTTCTTCACCGTGCAGAGCTTTTGCAGAAGCATCGCGCTCATTACATCCACATGATTAATTTGCAGGAGCTTATCATGAAGCATTCCGCCTTTGTGGGCTACCCCATTGACTTGCGGATGGAGCATCGCAAGGCTGGTTGAAATGTGCCGGAGTCAAAGAGAGCCGAGAGCAAAGCGAATGGCAGTGTTGAGGGATGACACGCGACGGAGCCGCACTTGCGTCTGCCCTCGCATGTTTGGAGCATCCTGCCAATCTGCCTGTCTGGGTCAAAGACTCGCCAATCAGTGTTCTCTTCGTGCAGGAAGAGGAGGTAGAGGTCCATGAAGAGGGCGAGGAGGCGCCAGAAAAGAGAAGGAAGGCCGGGGCCGCTGGGACCAACGGCTTGCCGGGTAGCAAGGAGCGCTCGTCGAGGCAACTTTGTGGGGAACGGCCTGTACTTTGAACCCTGTTTAGTAAAGCTTGTCTCAGAAGGGAACCCAACGGAAGCGTGAATGCACAACACTGGGTGTACATGCTTTGGCGTGTGTCACTCTTGAGCGTTTCGTGCATTCTCTCAAAGTGTCGGAGATTGACAACTCTCCCAAAGTATTGGAGGTGGTGGACAACTGGCCCATCCCGGCTCGATTTCCGCTTTGGCTGACCCTTAAACCCAGTGCGTGAGCTGAGCCGGACAGATTCGTCAGGTCACTGTGAGCTATTCGTGGGCCTAGGCCTCAGAGGTACGTCTTGCAGGTTTGAACCTCCCAAGCGGCCTTGGAACAGCTGTGCATTTTCCGTGATACCCCCCCCCCCCCCCGTTTTTTAAGCATGACGCGCATCCGTGACGGTGACAAATCTTTATTGGCCTGTGCAAGAACCAAGGAACCTCCAGATGGGCGAACTGTCTCTTGCCCCGAATCGCCGCCCGGTTCGCTTCTTGAGCTTAGGAGCTCATCAACAAGAACAAGCCCCTGTGGCTGAGACCCGCCGAAGGTGTGGCGCACGAGGCGAGGAGCGCAGAAACGTAGGGAGGTCACGGGACAACATGTCTGATCCAACAAAAGGCACTGTAGCTTTTGGTAGGTGCAAATTGTCTTACGAATGCAAGTTGAGCAAAACGGCTTCTGACGATTCTTGCGCGTTCGTAGTGTGCGCTCATCAATCATGCTTCCATCGCGCAGGCATGAATAAAATCTGACCTCTCAGGGAAACCCACAACAGGTTGCAAAGTTCTAGCGCAGGCTTGAGGTCTTTAAATCAGCAAGCCAGACAGCAAGACGGGCGCGGAGCTGCAAGGAATATGCAGAGCTGTACAAGTTCCTCTCCGGCGACTGGGAGGACCAGGGCGGACTATGGGGATAATGACAGCATTGCAGCCATGTAACCTCCAACAACGTAACTTTTAGTTTTTACCTGCAAATGGTATCGTATTTTTTTGCCGGTGGCTCGTGCGAGTGCTGTCGTGTGCTCCTTGTCACAGATCCTGAAGCGAAGCCCAGCATATTCCCTTAGGTAGCATCGATGCATGTGAGGGCAAGCAATGCTAGACAAGCACCAAGCGCCAGAGAACCAGGTGTTGTTTGCACTTCGGTGAAGCAAGCAAGTTAGTTCCGACAGGACATGATTGACCGGTAGACTGTTTTAAGGTTCACTGACTTCGCACGCGAAGTCACCGTGAGAGTGTGCTGTTTTGCACTTTCAGACTTTACCTGCACAAAGCTGCAGAATATTCCCAAATCACGGGTGGCACTAAAGAAGCGACATGCCGAATGCTCGCAGAAGGGTTCCCGGCATAGAAAGGTGTCTGGGGGTCAGGACCACTTGGCAGTGAAGCACGTGGCTCAGGGCGGCCAGGCAGGCCAGGGCACAAGCGATTAGTGCTCCGTGGTTCTTTGCTGGTTGTGCTATCTCTTTGGTTTTGCTTTCATGCCAGTCTTTTTGTTTGAACTTGGCTCTTGGGTAATGGTAAGAACAGATCTAGGAAGTTGATTCTTGGTCAATGAGAGGGCAACGGGCAGTTTGTTTCCAGCTGAGGTTTACTTGTATGCTCCTTGAGAGCCCTTGTCGCTTTGGCAGCACTCGCTATCTATGCCTTTGACTTCTTTTCAGAAGCCACAAAGGATTGTTTTTCTGGTGAACGACATTCGCAACTGTTTACTATGGCAAAGCGAATGCCAAAAAACCCTCTGCAACTCTAGAGACTCGACTCTGGGTGATTGCTTGATCTCAACTAACACACTCGCTCTACAATGTAGAAGCCCATGCCATGTGTACACTCGCATGATTAACAAGAGGACATTGTGGCCATCTAAGATCACAATCGCCATGCTGGCTCATAGGGTGGTTTATGCAGTCCAACATGCGAGACAGCATTTTTCGTTGGCAGTGGTCAGTGGAGAACGGACATCCACCATTCAGCCAGCAGTTTAAGCAACTTGCGCGTTTGGGGAAGCTTTGCCACCCCTTTCGTGCCGGAGCTGCGCTGTTTTTTTGGGGGGACCCCTTTCAGGCAATGGTTCATGGTTTCATGGCTTAAGCTTGGTTCCGTGATGCCATGGCCAATGAAAGCGAGCTCGCTGCCCCGGAACAGCTCGCCAAGATGACAATGCTGGCCAGAAAGTTACGTGCTAGCGGCGACAAGACTGCCGGAAGAGAATTGGTGGAGCTAGCTGAGACGATCACCGGGACAGAAGATCCGCAAAGCGAAGAGGTTTGCCGTGAGATTGCCAAGGGCTTCCGGAGTCAGAAGTCATCCATTCGGAGGGAGTGCCAGAATGCCATGGAAAAGGTCATGTATCGTCTTGGAGAATCCCGCTTTGAAGGTGTCCAAAATGCACTTGCTTGCATGGTGGAGGAGGATCTCTTCGCTTGGTCACGGCTGATAGCATTGGAGCTTTGCGACTTCGAGCGAAAGCCCAAGGCATGTCTTCGACTGCTGGAAGCAGGAGAGCTCATATTGAAGCATGCTGCATTGGATGCATTGTGTCCCTATTCCGAAGATCCACGGTATCGCAAGGAGCTTCTGGCAGTTGCGCTGAAATACGTGGCTCATGGGCAAGATCCCTTGCTTCGGGTGGCCGCAGCAGAGGTGCTGAGAAGCTCCCGAAGCTTCGAAGGCCGGGATGCCCTGCTGCAGCTGCTGCAGGATGAGCGTTGTAGCTCGGAGCTCCTGACGGTGGCCATCAGGGGCTACAGCGAACTGGACCGTGGCGCAAAGGAGGGTGAATCGGAACAGGCCCACGAGGCAAAGGAGTGTGGAGCCCTTGGACCGCTGTTGCAGCATGGCAATGCGTCCGTGCGAGAAAATGCCGCCTATGCGTTGGCAATGGGCAAGGGAGGGCCACATGGTCTTGCCCTCGCTGCCGTGATGCACCGGCCTGTGTGGCCAGAAACCCATGAAGACGTTTTAGAAGCCAAAATGCAGGCTTCTAACGGCTTGAGCGACTTGAGACAGAGTTGGATTCAGCGAGGCACCTTGGAACAGGGGATTGAACAGTAATCAGAAAATGCTTTGGGCGATCATAATTCGTGAGGAGGATGTGTAGACTTCGATCAGCTTTCGCTCGCGGACGGATGTTTGCCAAGCAAACGATCCAACAAAAATGGCCGGCACTCGTGTGTGGAGCATGCTATTTTCCCACGGGGCTGAAGGTTCGTCGTTTGCAGATATTTCGAGATGCTGCTGTGGATGGACAAAATCCTGCACCAGTGGGTGTTTTGTTTTCCCACTATTCATACTGTGGATGGACAAAATCCTGCATCACGTTGAAACCATGGGAAACCATTATTTGGTGGTATTTACAGGGGAATCATCACTTTAGGGTTTCTTAGGTGGTGCAGGATTTTGTCCACACACAGTAGGTCATCCAACCCAAGTGGTTCCAAGCGGATTTTGCCCATCAGGTCCCCTCGGATTCTTGACTTTGCCAGGTGGACTTCAAGGCTCTGCTCTACTGCCCCAAGAATGCGCCGAAGGCTGGCAAGCGCGCGCGCAGGCTATTGCAGGCGACTGCCTCTTTTTCCCGAAAGCATTGCGAAGGGTTCTTCCGTGCGGAGCTCTTGGTCAACTTGCGCAGAGTAGCTTGCACAGAGTCACCAGCATGGAGATACCAGGAGCTCTTGGTCAACTTGCGCAGAGTAGCTTGCGCAGAGTCACCAGCATGGATATACCAGCATGGAGATACTCGCGCAGAGTTACTAGCACAGAGTAGCTTGCACAGAGTTGCCAGCATGGAGATACTTGCACAGAGTCACCAGCATGGAGATACCAGCATGGAGATACTTGCACAGAGTCACCAGCATGGAGATACCAGCATGGAGATACTTGCACAGAGTCACCAGCATGGAGATGCTTGCACAGAGTCACCAGCATGGAATCACCAGCATAGAGGTACTTGCGCAGAGCCAAGTGCAGAGCCAAGCGCATAGAGCCAAGTGCTCAGAGCGAAGTGCAAAGAGCGAGGTGCAAGGAGCCAAGTGCACAGAGCTAAGTGCACAGAGCCAAGTGCAAAGAGCGAAGTGCATCGAGCCAGGTGCATAGAGCCAAGTGCATAGAGCTAGGTGCATAGAGCTAAGCTAAGCTAGGTGTAGAGGCTCGGCGTTAGCAGCTGTGTAAGCTAGGTTAAGTAAGTTAGGTTAAGTACTTAACGCGCGGGAAAGAAAGAGAAAGAGCTCGGTATTAAGAATCTCTTTCTTGGCGGGGGGTGGGGATGTTGCCGGCGATCGGGAATGCGACCCTCTGCGAGGATCGGCGTGGTCGAGGTGCAAAAACTCGAGTTTTTGTTTTGCGCTTTCTCGGTGCGCGCGCGACCCTCCGGGGATCGGCGTGGTCGAGGTGCAAAAACTCGAGGTTTTGTTTGCGGTTTTTGCTTGCGAATTGGTCTTTGGCAATTGTCTCGTGGTTTGCGCGGCTGCTCTCCGGGTCGCGCGGTCGCGGGTTCGATCCCCGCGGATTTTTCAGTACAAAAGTAGTACGCGAAGTACATTCCCGCAGCTCCAGCTGAAAGTCGCAAATTTTAAGTACAAAAGTAGTACGCGGAGTACATTCCCGGAGCTCCAGCTGCAAAATCGCAAATCGCGTCGGACAAAAAAGCAGCGGCTGTTGAAGAATGTTCGCCAAACTCACTCGCAAGTTTATCTCCCCACACATGGCTTTCAATGCTTTCGGGCCATCGTCCTCTAGTTTTTTTTGGGGGGGGCCGGACACTCAAATACCGGATGCGTTCCGAAGCGGGGCGGTAACAACGTGAGCCCTTGTCAGAGTCCAGGCTCTTCCTTGGTGTTAAGGTCGTGCAACAACCATGCGCAATCCTAAGACTCATATCATGACCGAATTTGTGATTGGCTCACACCTTGCATTTTTTGCCAACCTTGGAGCAGGACATGTTCGACATGGGCAAGATGTCCCAGCGGTTTAGCATCAGACTCTACGTGCGGAGGCCGGCGACACTGTCCCACACATCAGTATGGCCCATTCACTGCAGCATGGCGCAGTTTCGCCCGTGAGGGCTTGCATTCTTCAAATAGGGGAACTCCGAAAATAGAAGGCGAAAGTCCTTTGGACTTTATCCACACCCCAAAAAGACATACCCGTCAGTATGAGTCGACCATGCGCGGCAACACAAAAGTGGTCTTCCCCTTTCGAAAGGCACCCTTGGTGAACTGCCTCAGAGGTGGCATGTGCCCAGTCTTTGAATCAGAGTGCTGCGGGGAGAGATGCCCTTAGGGTCTTCATCAAAGAATTCAACGACCTGATCCCCAAATGGATGGGCTTCATCAAGGGCATCGTTGACAGCGACGACATGCCTCTGAACATCAGCAGAGCCGCAAAGCTGCAGAGATATCATCGCACGGAAGCATACGGCAGGTCTGTCCTGTATGTTGCTCGGTTCCCCTGTCTGGCAAGTACTGGCATCTGACTCATGGCAATGGTGAAAGGCAAACACGTTTACAGAACATCGGCTACGTCAGACAGACATGAGGATGCAGGTACATCAAATTTGATGTATATCACTTGAATCATGTGAAACAACACATGTCTTGTGCCTTGAATAGTCCGCACGGGAGGCAGGTTTTTGTCTGTGGTCGATTCCACATTGCGAGATGTATGCTTTGTGTGATTTGTGCCGCATGCTTGTCCTTTGCATATTTACCAAGGAGATGTTGCAGCAGAACGCCATCTTGAGCCATGGCATTGCATAGCCATGGCACTCCTTGCGGGATTGAAGGCACCGCCCAATGCCATGGGCCTCGATGATGGAAGGGTTGACTTCTCCAAATCGCCACTACGATCATTGGCTACGATCATTGGAATGTGTCAGGTCACACGTGCTGTGAGGATTGTAACGTTGGACGAACGCCATTCTCGCACCGAGGAAGCACATCAAGACTGGCCTTCAGAAGAACATCTTTAGCATGTTTCAAGAGCTTTCCCAGGAGCCCGGTGTCAGATGTCCGGCAGTGGTTCGATGCCATGCTGGTTTTGGGAGTCGCTCTGGTGCCCCGGAATGGAAACGCTTTGCGTCTGGAGGACAAAGAGAGGTTCAAGGCCTTCCAAGAAGCCTTCTCCCAATGCCTGAAGCTCGGCGTCTACGAGGAGATTGCTTTTTGTGCTGGAACATGATGGCTAAGCCAAAGGCTTTGCATATCCAAACCTGATTTGCCTCCCATTGCATGAGGGTAACGCACATGCATGGAGCGCACGAGGCTAACAATGTGTCGTGTGAAAGGTGCATGCGGTCAAAAGATTCAGCCAGGACCACGCGAACAGGGAGCAGATCATTCCTTTGCTTAGGTACCACTCCTCCAAGTCGGGCGAGGACACTGGGCCAGCTTGAGCATTGTTTTGCTCACCAATCACTCCAGTTGCGGACGACGGCATGACTGTTGGGCTGTTTCAACTTCGGGACATGTACAACTTCGGGACATGTACAGGCGCTGGACGATGTCAGCGCATGAGAACAAGATGGGACATCTAGGCAATGCTGGAGCAAACAGATCGATAGACTCCCGAGCATATGAATCATGGTTGGCAAAGGTTGATCATGTGCAGGTGTTTGCTTATGTTGTTGCACAGAAGCGTGGGTCAGATTGGAAGGGGAAAAAGCCGGGGCAAAGTAGCATTGCAACATGTCGAGGGCCTTCCTTTTGCGCAGGATTTGGTGGGGCTTGACGAGTACATCGAGCGCATGAAGCCAGGCTCAAGCGGGAAGATGGGGTTAAGATGCTTTCCAGGCGTCCAAGTCGTGCTTGGGCCCCGTTGACCGCTTGAGCCCTGTTCCACAAGTCACCAGAGTCTCTCTCATACAGCTCATTGGCAGCTCAGCTTTGTATCAGACTCCCGATGGCACCACATCAGGTAACCCATGGGACCATTGAACCCTGGCGGGTAGTCCTGTTTAGACAACTTTTTTGAAACCATGGCTATCCTGAAAGTCCAGATTTCCGTTTGCTCGGAGGTATACCAAACTTGCCCCAAGGGGGGCAGGAGCGTTCCTTTTCGCAGCGGAGGCCAGCGCCACATCTTGTACATCACGGGCCGGACCAAGAGGGATGCCGCCCGCTCGCCCTACATTGAGGCAGGCGGCTTGGAAGAGAGTTCTGTGAGCTCGATCACAGCCGCAGAAGAGAGTGACAGGTTGCACCGAGAGTGAAAGGTATGGACTTGATTGATGCTATATATGTATATGCTTCATGACTTGTGTGTTCTTGTGAAGTTTGCAGTGAGATGCCATTGAGGAGATTCGTTTTTTGTTTTTTTGATGCGCCCGGGAAGCCATTTCAAGCGCTTTCCTTGCATGTCTATCCTTCTGAAGTGCGAACATTTTGATGGGCACAGATGTGGTTGCGGAGTTCAAGGCATCATTTTCTAGGCGCCGCTTGGAGTGTTAGAGTGCTGGAGTACTTTCAGCAGATCGCCTTACCATTTGTGTGAGCTACTCCACACCAGCCTTTTACAGATTGCTTTCCGTGGACGGTTGTCACTCGGCTGAGGGATGCTTCCTGTCGGTGTCAGAAATCAGGCCTCCCTCAATGGGCGGTTTGGATTGGTGATTGCAGAGTTGAATCCTTGGTTCCAGTTTGGACTAAGTGGTTTCATGGACAGGTGTTCTATGAATATTAACATCTTCGGAAATAGTTGGTGGACACAAGCCTACCATGAGTTTCTTTTTCTGAGGGCTGTGCCCTTTGTTGGGCTTGGCTATTAAAGGAACCAACGAAAAACAATGGTGGTGTTCGGCTATTCTAAGACATTCTCGCGTGACAGATGCCCACACAAATCACTTCTCATGACTTCTCATGTGCACCAGGGCCTCAAGAGGGACGGCTTCGAGGTGCTCTATATGACAGACCCAGTGGATGAATATGCCGCTCAATTCCTCAAGGACCGGTGAGACGAGGGAATGGCCGATGGTTGTCAAAGGAGCAGAGTAGACATACAAAGTTGTCACGCATTCGGGGGGGTTGGCTGCACATGCTTCGCGTGGCGTTTGGGGAGCATTTGAGCGGCGGTTTTTTTACCCGCAAGCTAATTTAGTGGGGAGAGGGACATTATTATTGGAAATGTGCGCCGCGCCACACGCGCGGAAGCATGCGGAAGGCTCGCGGAAGGGATTTGTTCGCGGAAGGTTTGCGGAAGCTTGGTGGCTGATATACAACTAAATGTTTCAGTGCGTGCATGGAAAAGCTCGGAGAAACAATTCCAGTAGAAGAAAATGTGTTGCCGCGTGCAAGAAACGTAACGCTTACTCGAAGAGCAGATGCCAACAGCAAGCCAAGAAGGCCAAAACAGCCGGCGTACTTCGCGGAAGGTTTGCGGAAGCTTCGCGGAAGCTCCGCGGAAGGGTGGCCCCGTGTTTGCAAGCAAGCGGCCACGTAGCATGGGTAGCCCAATGGAGCCCAAGCCTACACAAGCTGCGGAACACTACCTCACTTAAAATGACATTTGCTTCTGCGCCAATGCTCGCGGAAGCAAAACTTGTAAACCATGCCCCGCGGAAGGTTTGCGGAAGCAAGCAATGAAACACATGTGCCGCGGAAGTTCGCGGAAGGGACCTCTTGGCCCGCGGGAAGGATGCGGAAGGGTCCGCGGAAGCTTGAATAATGTCCAAGCAAGTTTGTAGGGAATAAAAACCAACGCTCATTTGATACTTGATGATGTGGCATCGCAGGCCAAGTGCGTAGCTTGGTTTGTCGGCCAATCAAGCCTGGCTGCAGTCAGAGTCTTCAAGCGGCAGTCCGAAGGGGTCCCGAGTGAGCAACCTATTTGAGGTACCCTTTTCAGGGTTGGTTCAAACAGAAGTCAGAGGGAAGCCGCGCATGTGAGATTCTTGCGGGTCGGCATTTTTGAGGCACACACCCACATGAGGTTTGATCAAGCTTATGGTCAATTGGAAGGGGCATGAGGCGACTCACTGACTTTCCACAAAAATCGGGGGGGGGGGGCTGTTTAATTTTCCCATGTTTGTTGTGGGAAACACATATTTTGAGTGTCTCATGTGACAACCCCGTGGCAATCACAAAGCCTCATGCTGACTGGTACTTACTGTACACATCTAGAACGCGTAGAACGCTGGTGCCCAGTGTGAGACAAGATGGGAGACACGGCGGGTGCAACGTGATTAATATGCGTTTTGACTGCTCCTGGTTTGAAACTTTCAATCAGCAGAGGTTGTCCATAAGTGTGTTTTGCGACAACTTAGTGTTTCCAGTGCTTGCCTGAGCGCTGCACAAAACTGGAGACCTCGCCCTGCCAGGAGTATCGAGGATACGAAGTGCTGAGCTGCAGGGGCGCCCGGTTACTCTTCTTTCTTGTGGGTAGCGGTGGGAGTGGTCCGCTGTTTCAGCGAGAGACATAGAATGAAAAAGCCGAACAAAGAAAGCAAACACAGAACGGAGGAAATTGCCACGAGATGGCATTGGGACAAGGAGTGGTGGAAGGGCTCCCTGTTTGGGCTCTTAGGACCGCTCCGAGCTTCTGATATTTCTGCGCACTTATAATGTGATCCAGTTGTCAACCCTTGTCTTCCCAATTTCCTTCAATTAAGAGTGTGCGGTGCGACATGTATTCCAGCAACCTTTTGCCTCACTTTGACTTTCAGACAGACATGCCGGCACTGCTGGGCAGAATGCCATGCCACAGCTGAATCTTAGCACAGGCTCGGTGCTGCTCAATCACAAGTGCCAAGTTAAGGCACACCCTCTCACTTCCCGTTGGCAGGGATGGTCATGGACCTCCTAGCGATTATTAGAAAACGATTGGACGGATTCCGATGGAGGTTCCATCAGCAGAGCCAACCTGCCAGCTGTTCACCATGCATAAACACACATGCTGAATTCAGTGGATTCGACATGCGAGTGGCTTGGTGGAACACAGTTTTGGATGTCACGGCAGCATTGCCTTGCCAACATCGATCCGCCTGACCAGACCTATGACCTATGTAATTCCTTGTTTTTGTGGTTGATGAGGAGTGCCATGCTTGGCTGTTGATGTGGACTTGCATTGAGCCAAGTACACAATGATGATATATCGAATGAAGCAATTCACTCCACTCCGATCACGAGCCAAGGCATGAGCATGGATGCTGCGCGACTTCTAGATCACCGCTCTGAGCAAGATCTTAAGGCACCAAGACTTGGGTCACGCCGTCAATGGTCAACCAGTCCAGTGCAAAGGAAGCCGAGACCTGAAGGCTTGCGGATTTGCTGTAGGCAGTGGGTGTTCGATGTTGCAACCAGAGGCTGGTCGGTGAATACGGGGATGGCCACAATGTTCTGCTGGATAGCCACATACAATGATGTGGATTGGATGCAGCAGCAATTATTCAATCACGAGGAGCTCCATGCAACCCGGCAAACTCATGGTGCCGACCCTTGCTCTATGGAACGATGCACGCCTGAAAGACATAGTTTTTCTCTCGGAGTTTGTTGGCGCACGTTTGTGTCCCTGCAACACTCAGCCCCCAGTTGATGGAGTCGCGGTGGTCAGGTTTGTCTCCTTTCATCCATAGGAACCAGCTAAGTGGTGCTGTGCTCGTGTCCATCTTCTGCTTTCACCTAACATGAATGATCTGGCTGCGAGCTGTTCAGAGGCAATTGATTGTTGACAGGGTGGGCCAACCAATGTCCCTGTTTGGCTCCCTTTTGCAGGGCTTGCCATTTCCAGGCAGAGCTGGAGCCTTTGAGAAAGAAGGTCCAGGCCCTCTCGCTGGGCGCTCGATCTAGGCTCCTAGGCTGAGAGACATACCTTCGCAATAACTCGGCTTTCCAAGGTATCCTGCAAGCATTTCCGGGTCTCTGATACGAGATATATATTGATGCTTGAACTGCAAACGCTCACCCAACCTGTCATGAAAGCTCTGCAGACTCTCCGCAGCCTCGTCATGGGCGCGCTTGTACCGAAATCTTAGATTAGATGAATCGCATTTGCTTTGTTTCAGAGCTCGCAGCCGAAAGAAAGCAAAGGGCTTCTGGAAGTCGCAGCATTTCGGCTGGATCTCCAGGCCGGACGGTGACGGCAATCACACTCGCCTATTCCTTCCTTCCAAAAACCGACAATTCGCTCCATAAAAGACACACCCACGTCATTGCCTCGCAGGCCTGAAGGACCAGACCAGAGGCAATTTGTACAGTACAACTCTCAGACCTCACCCAGAATACTTGTTTCGCCCACTATAGGTGCTTCACGACTCGGGCGCGCCAATCCTCCAAGTGTCAAACAAGCCTGCGCACACCGGAGTTTGCTTGTCTCTCGCGAAGCGCACTTGCCCAGATGGTAACTTTCCGACAGCAACTGAACCTTGGAACTACTGTTGCACTGGTTGACTGTGCCTTATGTTGTCTCGAGATGAATGAACTTGGCAGATTATGGGTGTTCCTCCAATGGCGAAGCACCCCCTCCAAACTGATGCAACCCTGTACTACTTAAACTGGGGTTTACTCCTCCCTAGGGTTCAACCCCCCTCAAAAGAAAGGTTGACTCAATTTGGATGATGACAATCCAGAAAAGCAATGGTGGTTATACATGAACCCCCATTGTTTTAACGGTGGTTTGAACCCCAGCATCCTGCTTCACGTTGCTTTCCAGGCGATCGGATCCTCCCTTTGCTTGAGGCCTGGCTTCACTGTCGCGCTGGCGTCTCTTCCAGTTGAGTGCTGCGCACGCCTGGCCCAATCAGCGGAGGCACAAGGGGTCGCGGGATGAAGGGGACGAAGGGGGTGCCTTGACTGAGTCACATGGATCCTGTCCAAGCAGCCGAGCTTTTTCATCCACGCATTACGACCCTGTTTGGATTGTCAATGTTCACCGTATAGCGCTGCGGACACCGATAGGGAACGTCGCCACAAGCCTTTCTGTTTCCGGGGCCCAAGTTTTCCTAATCACATCGGCACTTGACCACAAACAAACTCTTGAAGCTCCTGCCTCCCAAAGCTCAATTTGAATGTCACGACACATTTGCATGTTGCCCACGAGCTGACGGCTTTGCTTGACATTGGCCAGCATGTCCCTCTGTATGTCCGTGTTTGTGTTTGTGCTTGGGTGGGGAGGGGTAGTGAACCAACATTTTGGCCCAGGGCAAGGTCCTTGAGCTGAACTTCAAGCACAGCCTGCTGAAGGACCGGGCCGTGCCATGCAGCACTGGACTCACTGGACGTTGTGTAAACATGACGCAGCCGTCCAAAATATGATGCATCAAGGCCGCGGAATAAAGGGGCTCCAAGTGCATTGTTTTGATGAGAATGTCAGCCCTTCATGATGGGCACTCATCCATGGAGCCAATGATCTTGCGCAGAAGCCTTGCAAGATGCCACAAGCCAGGGTCCCATTTGTTGTTGACGGGGATTGACACATGCTTACATCATGCTTGGCCTTGTGTGAGTTCTAGCAGGCCTTCAAATTTGGAGAAACATCTTCGATCCAAAGCCACGCAGTGGCTGAGAACTGTATCATGCACGGCTGCAACGAGTGCACAGGAAACTGGGTTTCCCTTACCAGTTTGGCTTGAACACCTCCTCTGCTCAGGAGCTCGGGAGACACAGCGCCTTCCAGGCAGGGCACGGGAGATTGCAGCGTGCGGGCTGGGGGGAATGATTTGGCTCTGGGTCAAAAAAGTGTACCCAAAATGGAACCCTGGTAAGTGGAAACATGGACTTAACCCTGCGGTCCCCTGGTAGTTTATTAATTTTGACCCAAACCCATTTCTGGCCGATGTCGAGGAATCCGCTTTGAACCAAGACGCCAGGCACGTTTTCTGGCCATCCGACCGGCGACTGGGGTATCGTTTCAAGAAGCGATTTGGGAAGTCTGATCCACCAAGTGCACGTCTTTGTTTTCTGTATTGGCAGCGGAGGGTGCTCATGATTGATGAGCATTGCATATGTTTTGAGGTTTCGTCAAACCCAACTTTACCTGTTTGGAGAGCCTCAAACCCAAAAAGTTAATTTTAGTTTAATGACCAGCGGATGTCGCCTAGATCTGTTCCTGCATTGTCGGCGTTCTATGAAGTGGTATGCGATTGATGGTTTTAAAGTTAGACCATCAAACACCCTAACACCCACCAAGAGGAGTCCCTAGGCCCCAGGTGCTTTCAGCTTGGATCCCGCATGGACGGGAGCAGGCCTCGGCCGGGGACGACGCGCTGGCGCTGGATTTGTCCAGGCCGACAACATAGTGGCTTGCAATATGGGTGTGGTTCCTTTTCGGGAACCAGCTTTTCGCTTGTTGTTTCAGGCAAAAGGAACCAAGACACACCCATATAGGCGTCAACGCAGCGGAACGCAAATGCGAAAGCCAACCATTTGAACAGGCAGGTCGGCTGTTTGAGAGGCAGCCAACATCATGCAGCTACATAGAAAGCCCCGATGTTCCCCCCATCGGTTGCATTTCCTTTGCACCAGCGTTTTGAGAGTGTGATCAAGCAAGGCAGTTTTCGTAACATGCAACGCTAGCCTTGCTGAGAACACCCCGATGATGTTGTATGGAGTGCAACATCACCCAGTCCTGATTGCCTGTTTGACTGTTTGCCTGTCACTTTGTGTGCCTGTGCTTGCCCGCTTGCTTGTCCGCTCGCTCGCTTGCTTGCCTGCCTGCGTCCCTGCCTGCTTTGTCTCCCTTGTGAATCTGTTAGCCTTTGCTTATGGTCCCCCCGGCTGCCTCTTTGTCCGTGTTTGTATCTGCTTCTGTGCCTTTGTGTTTGTATCTTTGCGTTTGTGACTTTGTTTCTATGTCTTGTACTTGGGCAGTACATCGTGCAAGCAAGCAAACATAAACTCCATGGTTACACGGCTATCTAGAGTGCGGTTGCATTGCATGGTACTTTCATGGTCCATGAGGAAACGTGCAGTTCTTTGAGAGCAATACGCCCCACAACCAATGGATGCCAATGTGGAAGTGCACTTCTGAGTCTGGAGTCACAAGAACTTCACCGCAGGGATGCTTGGCTGGACTACACGTATCAACCCCCTTAATCTCTATCAGTCCTTTCAAAACCTGGTCAGCCATCCCCTTGGCTTGTTATCTTTTTAGGTTTTAGTGGGGATTTCCATTGAACCCGGACCTGCGGAACGGCGAAGACACGGTGTGTTTCCCATCCTCCCTGGAGTTTTCATGCCAGGCTGCTGCAGGACTTGGCGGAGCTCGAGGCCGCGGAACCCGACGACCCCAAGTGGGCGGACGCCTGCGAGAGGTGCCAGGAGCGACGGAGCGAGGTCCTTTCCCCGGCCGAAGGATTTGGTCCACTTCTCACTTGCTGAGTTCATGGACTTGAAACTCTTTGTGAAGACCGTTTGAGTGGCAAATCACTAGTTTTGACTTTTTCTGGCCTGTCAACGCAGGAAGTGAGGCTTGGAAGGCCTCAAATTGAAGAGACCAGCAAAGTGGGGCGAAGATACGGGGATCCCCCGGCCTCAGCTTTGGAATGAGGCCGGGGCATTTTTTGTGGTTGGACACTTTTGGACTAGATGTGGGCCATATGGCCAAGAGTTTCGATCTCAGGAGGTTTTCCTGCTCCGATCTCAGGAGCTTTTGCAGGCGCTGAATGCCGATGTCGAGACCAGCGAGGAGGTTCCCGCGCTGGGGAAGGCGGCGGAGGAGGAGGCGGGACATGGGGATGCCGGCTCCGAAATCGAGCAAGCAGCTCGATAAAATAGTTTCCTGTCCAGTGTGCCTACTCACGTGTGGACGAGAGGGCGAGGAAATATTAATACAGAATAGGTTTTCCAGCACATGTTCGATCAAACGGCCTTGCCTTGCCTTGCCGAGTTGCTTCGAGCTACTGATGGCTTTCTCAATGCATGTTGAGTTGGGAAACCTTACCAGTCTCAGGTTGGGCAAATGTGGCTTGCACGGCCAGACCACGAACCCTTTGAAGAGAGATTCCGGTGCCATGAAGACGAGGGAAAAAGGCATTGGATTTCCTCAGTGCTTTGACATTTGCCAGGCAGTTACAGAGCGAGCAGAGATCAGTCCAGCCAAGGCAGGGTCTGCCAATGCATCAATAGAGGCCAAATGTGTTTATGTTTCCCCAGGATGTGATGCCCATGCTGTCACGAGTGCTCGCAGCAGTGTGTGGCAGGCATCGGACATCGTGCTTTCCTGCGGCCGATGTGTTCGTATTGTGCGACCTGATCGTGCCCGACGGGCGATGATCACCTTTGTCGATGAGGCGCAGCGATTTTATCGACCAACTTCGGAAGCGTTTAGCGACTGCAAAGGACGCCCAGACAGTGGACGTGCTCTACCCAAAGCCCAAGGGCTGTGAGAAGCAGGACGCCCCACAAATGCACCCATTCAACAAGCCAGTTCTTGTTTATTGAAAATGTGCAGGAGGATGAGGAGGAGGGCGTTGCTGTCAAGTTGGTGCAGGCGCTTCAGGCCGGCGCTTTTGTTCACGTCGAGACAGCCCCGTTACTTTTATATCTTTTATGGTTTGTTTGAATGCCTCTCGTGCCAAAACCAGATGTCGACACTGCAAGTCACTTGAGCTCATGTTCCAGTGGCCTAAGCGGGCCTAAGGACTTCGAGCAGTCAGGCCCCATTCTCTCAGAGGACAGAGCCGGCGGGTGGGCGAGCAGTTTGAGCTACCACGTAGTCGGGTCACCTTACCCGTGAAAGGGGTGCGAATACTTCCATTTGCTTAAGAATATGGTTGATTTTCCCTTGTTGGCTTTAAAAGGAATTTATCACTACTGGAAATATATATTTTTCCAGGGGTCTTAACCAAATGAAAGAATAGAGGCAAACGCCCAGCCTGTCAAAGCGCCCAAGCGCTTCGGATTCGAAGGGGCTCGGATTCACTGCTGCGAGGACAGCCTGTACAAAGCTGCCAGCGCTGCCAAAGAGCAAGGCAATCAGCGGCTTGCTTCATGCTAGAGTTACCCATCGTTTGGCTACCCCCCCCAGACCATCTCAGGGTTTCTCAAGAGCCTCAAAATGGCAAACCGACAACACTTTCCTTTTGGTTTCCCTTCTTCCAAAAAAAGAGGGTGTCGAACCTCCATTTTGAGAACCACTCTTTTCGTGGGGTCCCTCTCAAAACGGCAGACCGACAACAGCTTCCTTTTTTTTCTTTCCAAAAGCGTGTTCGGAACCTCCATGTTGAGACCCACTCAAGGAGTGCCTCCTTTTGGATTTCCTTCTTTCAGAAGAGGGGTCCGCTCCTTCTTTTTCTTTTAAAGAATCACTCCTTGCCATGGGGCCGCCATGCTGCCTCTTCCACCTCTAACCTCATTTTGAGAGCCACTCCCTGCGTGGCGTCAAGCTGAGGCTCTTCAAGCTCAAGGACTTCGAGGCGGCGGCGGAGTTCTACTCCGCCGGCATAGCCGGCTTCGCCCAGCGCCCCATCGCCCAGGGCGAGCAGGTGCTGATGTGCCTCGGAGTTGGTCTGCCGCGTTCGGTTTGGGGCCGTTGCGTTTAAGTGAGCCTTTTTTGTTGAGGGACTTGGGGTGAGCCCGTTTTTTTTGGAGGACTTGGGGTTGTCCAGACCAAACAAGAGGAAACCAGCGCTGGTTTCCCTTTGGTTTCTCTTTAAGAGGGTTTGGCTAAAAGTCTAAAAGCGACAAACACTCACTTGCGAGTCTGCCAAAAGGAGTCAACGCCCTCTTCCCTCCAAGAAATCGGAGTATACCTCGTGTGGGGGTGTAGAGGTACGTTTGACACATGCCCATGACACGAGTTGGGCCTTTTCAAGAGGCAATTCCTGGTGTATCCACTGCCGGAACAGCAGAAAACAGGTTGATTCGACAGTTCTCCCTCCGCCCATGTCAAAAGGCGGTCGTTGTATCAGATTTTGAGGACTGTGCCTGAACATTTGAGCTACGATTCGGGCTCGGACCATTGTATTCTCATGGGAGGAAATGGGCTGAACTCTGACTGATGACCCATGAATGGACAGACATCCACTGTTGTTTGGACAATATGGGAACCCTCCATGGATTCTCAGCTCCTTGTTTTGTCCATGCTCGGCTTTGTTCATGGCAAGCAGACGAGATCAACTCTGCGCTGGTACAGTCATATGGCGAGCGATTTGTCAGGCTACTCCAATCTCAACTGAGCAAAGTATTTCTCATGGGCCACTGGCTTTGCCAAGCGCTTTCTCAATTACTGCAAGTCACAGAAGTGCCAACTGCGCACCAAGGAAGAACCAAGACACGGAGAAGGCAAGAGCAGCTTATTCGGCGGCTTAACAAATTGGGTCATATGCTTCGAAGGTGCGACCATGTGATTGTGATCCGTGCTGAAGGTCCGAGTGCCAACGACACTGCAATGGTTACCCCTGATTTTGAGGTGTTCATATTTTTCAATATGTCTTCTGGCATGCAGGCAGAATCTCAGAAGCTTGCTTTGTCTTCCAGGTGGGTTTGTCTCAACATAGTACCCCTTTTTGGCTGGTTTTGAACCACCAGGAAGCCACCTAGATTTCCTAGTCTTTGCCAAGAGTGCATGTGAGCCCTGTTATCCACAGCGCCCAACCACAGGTCAAGGGCGGCCTGACCAGAAGCACTGCTGCAACCTCAGAAGTTTGTCCGGCGGGATGCCAATCAAACGTAGCAAAATGATGAACATATGGACTGTGAAGCTCCCAAATGGAGAGGTTTCCCTTTGGATTCCCTTTGAACGCGCCTAAACAGAGTATCCTCGAAATGGAACTGCCACTGCTCACCTTCATCTTTAGGAACGGGGATGACATGCGGCACACACACACACACACACCACGTAGTGACTGTTAAAGGATGGGTTACTGACGCCGACGCATATGAGGTGCGTCAAAATATCCAGTAGTCTATGTTCCATTTGAGAAGGGCATGGGGTACTCAGCAGGTTTTGCACAACCAAATCAAAGGAATCACTTTTTTTCTTCTTCTGTTTTTTCCATGTCGAACATGGCCATATTAAACTGGATGTGAATAGACCGGTGAGTTGCTAGTGAGGGCGTACTGGCCCCAGTTGCACCCCATGTTTGGGCAATACAACAGATGCCTTTCTCAGAAACTCCCTCAATGACATGCACCTGGTGTTTGTTTAAGCAAAGCCGCTGAGATGCATAGCTTTTGCCCACACAAATACTTTGGTGAGATCGCACATGTTTGGCAGCGCAAGTGCGTTTCTCAGGGCAACTAGATATCCCGAGTATGACCCAATGCTTTGCTCAGTTTTCTTGGTTTGCAGTGTATGCTTTGCCACGTTTGCAGACCGTGTGTTGGTACCAGGATCGTCTCTTGGTGGCTCATTGCCTGAATTACTGAACATTGTTGGCATAGCTGGTATTGTTGCTATTGTCGCTGGCGTTCCCATCGAGCAATCGGTCGAGATGCTGACAGCGCTCATTCAAGCTCCAAGGTTCTTTCGATGGATGCGGAGGGCTCGTGCGAGATGATGAATGGCCAAGAAGCTCCAGTAGAGAGCTTATTTTGTCATGAGTAAGTACAACTTGGAACAAGTCTGCGAGATGCTTTGGTCGTTTCCTTGACTGCCATTTGGATGTCTTGGTTTTGATACAGCGCAACCAACCAGCAAATCGATTTTTGTGCAGCAGGGTGTGCATGCCTCATGTGGCAGAACGTACGGGATTGGAGTCGCAGATTCATCCAAGGCAAGTGAGCTTCTACCAGTCTGTCAAGAGCTACTACCACTCCACACGTCTTTGTACATGCGCCTCAGCGCACGGGGCATGGCTTTAGCAGCTTTACAAGTTGGGCTTGAAGCGTGTTGTGTGCTGATTGCTCCGCATGTTGGCTGATGCATAGACTGCATATAGGCGAATCGGTTTTCCCACAGGTCTAAATCTCGTCAGGGTCTGTGATAGCTTAGCACAATCTATCACGAGCTCATTTAGGGGAGGGACTATGAATATGAGCCCGCCCATGCTCACCCGAGAGCAGGTCCGTACTGGGGTGTTCAATGCGGACAGCCGCGTCATAGAAAACTCAAACAACATGACCCACGCAACGTGCATGTCTCCAGCGCACAGCTTCCTAAACCAGGAATCGGGCACGATGTCGACAGAATCTGGGCCCTTGCCTCAGAAAAACCAGCAGCCTCAGAGATGCACCAGTATCACCTGTGAGTCAATTCGCGGACGTTTGCAATCGCCGGATGTTGCGAGCTTCTAAAAACCCTGCCTTGCGAGGTCAACACAAGGAGGCTGCGCAGGACAGACTTCACTGCGTTTCAGTGCTTGGTTGTGGCCACTGTGAGTTGATTGTGAGAATCATGGACTGGAACAGGCAAATCTGGGCACCTGAGAAGCTTTTCAGCTGTTTGGTGAATCACAGCAGATTGGGCGAAGATTGTGTGCACTTGAGGGACTTCATTTGGTTAACTGTTTTCCAGCTCGTTCCTTCCAGTGAATCAGCATTGAAGATCTACTGGCATTGGCATGCGCTCGTGCGCCGTTTTCCTGCGCATGTTAAGCAAGCTGGCAACGCCTTTAGTTGCGAACAGCTGTGCCAGATGCAGTTGCTGCCAGAAGGCCGCCATTTTTTTTGCGGGATATTCCTGCCAACATCCTCCCGACCCGTTTTGCAAGCCGACAGTCGCCGGAGACCCTCAGAGTCCAAGGAAGGCCTGCGCCTTTTCCCAGGACCTCACGGCAGTGCTCGGACTGTGGGAAGCTGCAGCCGCGGGCCCAGGGAGCCAGGACGTGGTTTAGACGAAACCCAATGGGTCAAAATGAATCCACCAGGGAACCGCAGGTTTTATGTAGTCCCTATACCCAAAATTAGGCCACCAGGGGACCGCAGGTTTTAGTCCGTGTTTCCATCAGGGTTCCAGTTGGGGTACCTATTTTTGACCCACAGCCAAGAAAATGAGGGGGTACTCGCCAAGATCACATGTCAATTCGCGCAATGCGCATTGACCGTGGCTCAGGTGTGGCCGTGAATTTCGAAGGGACATATTTTTTGAAAATGTGATTGCTGGATATTAATCCCGAGTCATGTCCACCAAGGGTCAATGATGGCATCAGGTTGCCCAATGAACAAGCAATTCGATCGCCTCTTCCTCACCCACAGAAAGGCAGCAGTTTTTCTTTCTGAGGACAAGCGCTTGCTGCAGGCCTCGGTGATTGCGGATAGCGAGAACGGGATCGGGTTTGGACCTGGTGCTTGAGTGCTCAAAATATGTTTGTTTGCTTTTTTGTTTTTGCGTTTCGGCGGTGCCACATAGGACATGGGCCGCTAGTTGATGGTTTTTGCTGCCAATAATTCGATGTCCATTTGAGGCAGGCGCAAAACTGACACACTGCGCACAGATGCATGGGACATGCCAAAGAAGCGGATGTGAGATGCCTCGCTCCATTGCAGGCTGACCCAGAGATGAAGGAAGCTCAAGAGAAAGGCACCGGCATCACTGTGCGGGGACACGCAAAGAACAAGCCTGCACTGCTTCCTGAGCCGTGCTATGAAGGCCTCTACACTGCAGAGTATCTCCGAGCTCGATCCAGGCCAGACAATTGACGTGAGTTGGGAGCTCCTTTGAGTTGGATTTGCGGACACGTCCCCTGGTCCCGTTCGCCTGGCTCGTGCAGGCTTGCTCGAGGTCTTTCGAAAGCAGCCGCGCAGGACACGCGAGACGAGGGAAGTGAGTGGACAGAATGTGCTTTTGAGCCAACGTGACATCCTAAGGATACGGTTGATTCCTGGCCCCCCGGCACGGCCACCCACCGAAGCTTGCAGCAATCTGGCAACCTCGCAGGCTCCAGCCCACCGTTCACCCTTTTGGCGTCCAACACAAGCAACGTTTTGACGGAGCCTTTAGCATGAACATTTAAGGGTTCTCAGAAAATTTGTTTTGGAGGTTTCCATGTGAGCAGCGCCATAAACCCTGGCAATGCCGCTTTTGACACACGAGTATTCGGCACGGCTCATTTGAAGCATCTACAGCGATCTTGAGGCATTAGCTTCGGGGCTGTGCCCGACCCATTTCGCCAGGATGTGAAGGAGGCACTGGTGCGCAGCCCACCCGCAGCCACAGCGACTTGCCTGCCTTTCGAACGGGTCCTATCGGCCGCAGCAAACCGCTTGGATTCGTGGGGGTTGCATGAGGTTGGTTTGACGACATGCATCAGGTGTTGGTTGCGACGAGCAGTTGATAGGTTTAGGGTTGAACATTGACCAGTTGCAATCCTTGGGGTTGTCTCAAGCCGGGGAACCCCGTATCACCCATAGGTCCCCCTTTGGCCCCCGAATTGCGAATGCTGAGGTGAAGCAGCTCAAGCAGCTCAAAGTGGAGGTCCCCGCATGAGTGAGACCCTGTTTCTTGTTCGGCATGTGTTTGCAAAGTCATCGCGTTTCTGAACACAGGCAGATTGTAATGCAGGAAGGATACATTGACTGCAAGGTTGGTTTTCAGCAAAGATCTTGGAGTGGGAACACATAGCCGAGTGTTTAAAACCAGCGACCCCTCCAAAATGGTTGCCCGGGTGTCAGTTTGCTCGAATAGCATCGCCTGCATGTGGTTCTCCCCTCAGTCCAAAGCAGAGACAGGTGCGGCCGCTTTGTTCAATGGTCTTGAGTAGATTCCTGTAGTTTTATTCTGGCCCGTGGTTGAACCGCCCTGCCTATTTGGGATTGCTGGCCATTGAGGGAACGGCATTTGGGAGCCATGACCATGGCCCACGGCACTGTGGCAGGTTTTCGGAATTCCCCCCGGCCAGGTGACGGCGGCACAAGAGAAGCAGCGCCAGGTGAATGGACCCTTGGCCAAGGAATCCGCAGCCGGCCTTCGCTTGCTCAGGGAATGAGGGGATGACCCCCAAACTGAATCATCCACACGGTTGCAACCTCAGGATGTCTTGGAAGCGTTGGCGAGTGAGGAAGAGCCGTCAGTTCCAAGGATCATATTGCACAAATGCCAGCCCCAAAGTGCATGATCAACTACAGTTCTCCGCTTGCAGTGCCGCATATTTTGCCTGTGGCACATGGCAGCTCTTGACGTTCTTGCCATAAGCGCAGCATAGCGCAGCACTGAGAAGCCTGGCGGCGAGAGAATCACTTCAACTTCGCTCCTTATTGACTTCTTTCTCACGCTATTACTCAGAGCAACGCGAACACTTCACGCCCCACCTTTTGAAGGCTGGCTCAACGGGGCGCTTACGAAGCCCAATGAACCAAATGCATGCAAGGCATGCAAAACCTTCATGACTATTCCGCTCTTTGGGAGATGCAAATCAAACCCAAGAAGCTAATCGTGTGGGTTGTATCTTTGGCTCGGTGCTGCACAGCGTTTTGCGGCTGGACTGTGCCAGCCCCACTAACAGTGGACACAAGCATATTCATGTATTTAAACCGCCTCCTTTCACGGGGAACGTGTGGAAGACGCTTCATGGGCGGAGCCATTGCTACTGTGGATGGACAAAATCCTGCACCACTTTGAATCCATGAGAAACCATGATTTTTTTATATTCACGGGGGGAATCATCCTTCCAGGGTTTCTTGGGTGGTGCAGGATTTCGTCCACCCACAGTATGTTTGGCCTTGCAGTTTGCAGGAGCTGGCCAAGCTGGTGATCTCCCTCCGGGGTGGCCCCCAGATCTCCTGATTCGGAAAGTTGTGCAGCTGGAGAAGGAGACCTGCAAATTGCATGGAGAGGCGAGCTGGAAGGGATGGGGTACCTCAGTCCGAGGGATCCCGTAATTCCTGGATGCCGCCTCACGCCAGAGACTTGTGAGAAACCAGTTGTCAAGCTGAGCTTGGCGAATGACTGGGCAAGAAAAGCTCCGTTGTTTGCATTGTGCACATATCGGTTTTGCACATATCGGGGCACACAGGCCGCAGGATCAAGCTGATGATCATGCAGAGAAGCTGGCTTTCGTCAAGAGACCTGCATGCAACAACGTTAGGTTCTTGCCAACTTTCATAGTGCCACGGAAGGGAGAGGCTTTACATTCACTTTACAGACCATCGATGGAAACGCTGCAGCTGAATGATGTTTTTGCGCAACTTAGGTTGCCAACAAAAGCATCAGTAGGTCAGTTTCGCGCCAATTTGGCGCATGCGATGTCCTATTGTTGGACAGCATACTACGCCCAACAGATATGGCAGCAATGTGGCCATGGGTCAGGACCTATTGGGGCGGATGAACACCCATGTACCACCTATTTTGATGTTCACCAGGGGTACAGGGTTTTGACCCACAGCCACAATGTATGTTCTTCCTTGGGTGGGCTTTGACCAGCCAGCCGACGGGTTCACGGGGACAAAGCTGCCCCAGCTGGCATGAGCCATGGTGTGGCGGTCAGCACGGAGGCCGCTGCTTTCCGGTTTGCATGCTGAGACCCTCAAGGTCGTTTGAAGGCTCTCAGTCTGAGCGAGGATGCTACTTTGATGTTGTAATCACCTGAGGGAATTGCAGTTGCTTGGATGCTATGCAATGCTTCATGTTGAAGGGCAGAGTGTTGGGCACGGATGAAGCCCTGCCTATCAAAACATAAAAGCACATAGACCGGGCATATGTTCAGCGCCCCAACAGAATGCCTTGGAAACTCTTGCCCAGGTGGTTCAGATTTCCTTGCAGCGCCACAGGCGCGTGCAGGGTCCCTTGTGGGCAGCTTTCCATTGGGAGACTCCTTTCCCCTTTTGGAGCCTGCCCCTGCCTATGGACTTCCATGATTGTTGAGGGGAGACCCAAGCTGTAGTCATTGTGCACGGGCTTTGTGTTTTGTTCTTGCGCAGCATCAACTTCTGCGTGTGTTCCTTGCTCTCAAGCTTCAGTGGGAAAGCGGTCTGCCAGTCTCTATGTCTTCCAACTCACCGTGTCAGTTTTTGATCCCAACTCGAGGCACAGTGCGTATCCTCGCCCCCAACTGATCATCCAAAGACTCCGAGAACGATCCCCAGATTTTTGTTGGCGCTTCGGGTTCGCGGCCGCCGAAAGACCGCGGAAAGACCCACCGGCCGCTGCTTGTGGTCGGGTAGTGGGCGCCCCTGCCCCGTTTGCCATCCAGGAGGCCTACGGAAAGGAGATGGCCAGCAAAGACCTGGCTCCTGCCAGGCTGGAGCTCACTGCCATTGCGGGGAGTCCACGACTTTTCTGCTTTTAGGCCGCTTCCGTGATTTGCGGAAAGGGTTGAGGCAGCGCGAGTTCCTGAAAGGCAATGCTTTCTGGCCACAAGGCATTCTTATACGCAAGTTCTAGATGTCGGATTGGCCGAAGGTTTCATCCAAATGCAATTTCCAGCATCCCTTACCAGTCACCTAGCTCGAGGGAGTTCATTGGCTTCAAGGCTTCTCCTGGGGCCCTCCGTGGCAGTGGCAGCCAAAGATCTGGCAGCCGCAGGCTGGTCGTCCGCATGGACAGTTCGCATCACGTGTAGCCACCTTGGGAAGGTGTGCCGAATCCGGTCTTTGCTTAGTTTCCAGCACAAGGGGAAGCTAGACATCAGTACGCCCATGGCAGACCTGAGGCTGAATGTGGACATGTCCAATGCGCTTGAGTCTCGAAGACAGACTTCAAGTTCCGTCCTCCATTCGAAAGGCGCGGCGCCCAACGAGCTCCTTACGAAGAGTTCATTTGCAGGAGACTGGCAGGGAGAGCCTTTGAATGGAGTAGGCCTGGACCCACCAATCAAAACCGCAGGGGCAAATTCAGTTGCTCGGAGGCTGAGCTTTGGATTGTAGCTGTAGCTGAATCATTGCTTCTTTTGCCGGCAGTTTAAGCCTCGGCACCTTGCCGAGGGCCGAAAGGTTTTGCTGCCCCAACGAGTGGTGTCTGGTTTTGTGATTCTTTCTCAGCGGAGAACGCCACACACATGGTGTTGGACCAGGTTTCATGCGGGGTCGAAACCAAGCCATTGCAGTGCTTTTCAAGGCGACTTGCCGCTGAATAACACAACATTTATACGGGTGTGTCTTTTTGCGGAGGAGCCCTTTTGGAAACCAAAGAAACAACATCCGGTTGGGGGTTCCAGCCATTTGGTTCTTCCTGACCCAGGACACTTTTCCTTTGCTTAGAACCGGCACAGAAGTGAGTGTGTCCTCAAAAAGCAATCCCCCAAGCTCAAAGGGGTATTTCTCAAAGAGACCTCTTTTGTGTCACTTCCGTCCTCATTTGGGCTTCGGTGTAGCCAAGGGTCAGGGCTCCAAAGGTTGCTAAGGAGGGCGTTGCGGGCGCCGCTCGTCTTGCAAGGTGGCACTGCTGTTCCGATGTGACGGGTACGGTAGTCAGGGTCAACAGAGCCAGGAATTGACGGCTGTCAGAACGGAAAAGAACAAAGGCTCAAGAATATGGGGGATGCAACCTCCGATTTGTCTAAAATAGTAAATGCAAAAATCAGTAGCCCCCAAAGTTCTACGTTTCAAGCAATCTTGGAGACTGGCAAGATACATAAGAAGCCTGAATTGCCCGCATGAGGGTGGGGCAAGTTTTTCACTGTTGCCTTGCAGCAAGCGAAGTGTTGAATGAGGCGAACTAGCTATTCAGGTTTTAGGCCCAGAAAGTTGATGGAACATTGTGCATGCTTGAAGTCTCCCTCCACGATGTGAGTTGCATTTGGTTCGGAGTTGCTTACAACAGCCCTGACTCAACTCAAAATCAAGTTGCGCGGAAAGCACGTGTTTTCTGAACCAGCCAGTCGCTCTTTCCTTGTGTCATTACTTCTGGGCTGCCCCCCGTGTAAGGACAAATTACTATGAGGGTGTCCAAGACTAATGGCTCGCTGTTTGGATGAATGGTTTGGAGTGGGGAACCGAAACCAAGGAACTGGAGGGAAGCCAAAAAACAAGGCAGGCCCACATCAATCCCCGGGCTGTGCAACTGGGTTTCACTTGCAAGAGGACTTGGGTGACCTGCAGTACATAGCAGAAGTCTCGCATGCGCCCTCAGATTGACAGGGTAGGAGGTCTGAGGGCGAGTGGAGGCAGGTCCAAGGGGAACAATCCCATTGTGGCAAGCGAAAGCCAGCCCCCAACCACCCACTCACAGTACTAATGTCGACCCCAGATTTATAACCTGGTGGACTTGTAGGGTGTCTTTTTCTAACAGTGAAGCATCTGCTCATAAGTGGCACACCACCTATTCGTCAAGCAATTTGTTTTTCCCTGTGTTCCAGTAGCATTGAGTCTTGTGTCGGCTCTGTCTTGAGGATTGGCTCCAGTTCTAGCACGTTTCGCTTGATGTCCAGCGCTCAATTGCAATGGAGATAGCAGCGGACTGCTGCGCTGATCCACCGGCTTTATGTAAATGGGAACCCATGTTTGCTTTGAGACAGAGTAAAGTGGCGAAACAGATGATGTTCCTATCCGTGTGCTTTCTTGCTTCGGATCCGCAATAGATCGCGACAGACTGTCCGGCACTTCCGAGTGGAACCACTGGGCTCCTGCCTCGCTGAGACTGGACACGGGCTCCTCAGCCCACGGCTCAGACCTGGTGCAGTGAACAGAGAGCCACAAGACCCAAAATGCTCAGGTGAGGGTTGTTCAAAATGAGGGTCCCCATTTGGGTGCCCCTGCATTTTCTCCGCTTTAGAAAGGGGGCTACGAAAAGGTCCAAAAGAGGAGCATGTCTTTGTTGAACAACCATCAGGTGCTTTGCCACAGACGGCCTCAAGAATGACATGAGCGTTTCATTTGCAAGCCCTTAAACTGGAAATCTCTTCGTGAAGGCGCACTCTGCATGGAAGAGTGAATTGGGAGTGTTTACATGGGCTTTGGGCCAGGGATTTATCGAACCGCATCTTTCAATGCTGTTTTGGGGCCAGATGGGAGCAGGGGTAGGACAGCTTCGTGCCGCCCGAGGATCTTTGGGTGTCCGGGGAGCAGTTCATACCATCGCTCTCAGACACATGGCTGCCTGGCCTGAGTTCACGAGCCTCCCCGGATCGTTTGGCAGATACTGGCATTTTGAACCCATGTCGCGTGCTGGGAATCTGGGGAGGCCAAGGCAAGTTGTCGGGGTTCGACATGGCAATGGCGGATGCATTGCTAGGGAGATCTTTGTTCGACACCGGTCCACCCCCTAGTGATCAATCAAGATTGTTTTGTCGCGGGTCAAATTGAAACAACCCTCACTATGTGACAGGACACGTATCACTGCGTGGACTCTGCTGAACCAGCAGAGTTCTGAACCGTACACCTTCAGTCCCAACAGCACGTCGCCAAGGACCCCGCTGCCGCAAGCTGGTCTAGCTCGGGCGCTCAGCCGAAAGCAGCAGAATTCCCGATATGTTTTGTGGTCTGGGCTTTGGAGTTTTCAGCTTGCCGTAGAGCCACAAATGCGAGATGTTCTGATTTGCTAGAATGCGGCGCCAAAAAGCTAAAGCCAGATAGAGCAGGCGTTTATGAGTACAAGCCAATTGTCAGTTCTAGGAATGAACTCTGACGGGCGAAATCAAATGTTCATTGCAAGACCCAGCAAGTATTGTATTACCAAAAAGGGATGCTACGGGAGTAACAGGCTGGCTGCGGCCAAAATATGCGTTCATTTTCGTCATGATGTTGCTGCTGTCGTTTGTCACTCTGGCTAACATAGTTGCAGTCACTGAAGCAAGAGTTCAGACAGCTTTGTTTGTCAGAGGTGCTGGACCAATCCGAGCATAGCAGGGTCATGAGCTTTTGGAGCATTGACAACCCCAAAATAGGTCTTGCATCGAGCTCCGCTTCGAGTTTCGGGCAGAAGCGGTTCTCTGGCACTGAGGTGAAGCTGGACTACGGGCAGGGAGAAGTGGAAGGAATCGTTGGCCGCAGCCCTGGGACGTCAAGAGTTCGGATGAACGAATCGGCAGGGGTTTTCGTTTAGTTGGGCATTGCATCACTTTTCTTTGCAAAGGTTTTCTTAGTGTTTTGTTTGGCTTGGCTCATTGTGGCTGGCTGCAAAAACACTCTATGTTTTGCCACTATAGCAAGGCTGGGGAGATTGGTTCCCCAAAGTCACGGAACACATGCGACAGGTTGACTATGTTTGATCTTATTCGGAAGACGAGGCTAGCAGAATCTGGAAATTGTTGCCATGTTGCTTCCATCGAGTTGAAGGACACAGGGCAGAAGTGCATGGAAGATTTGCAACGGCGTGCAATTTCATGAACATAGAGTCAAGAACCATTCTTTTGGGACCTCCATTTGCAGATTTTTGAAGCGTTTGGAATGCGTACCTGCTTTGACCAAGGTGTGGACAAAGCCTGCTTGCTGGCTAAGCCGGTTCCTCTCTGCGTCGAGCAGGAGCTTTTGGTGTGAGAAACTTGTTCAGAGATTATGCCTTGGCTAAACCCACAGTACATTTTGGGTGTGTGCCTTTTTTGAGGGACCCGTGTCACCTTGGTTTGAAGGGACTCCTAAAGGAGAACCAATATTTCTAGGGTCCCCTGTGTTGGCACATACCCGTATATACACAGTTGTTTGGTCTTGCAGCTGCTATGCTTGCATCGGCAGCATACGCTTTTCAATTGCATGCAAGCACAGGAGTTTCTGGTGGCGAAGCAGGTGAGTGACTTGAGCCTCAACACCTTTGATGGCATCTTGGGACTCGGCTTGCCCGGCCTGTCCCACGCCAACCAGGACTTGTTTGGACGTCCGCGCAGCAAACCGCCTTCTATTTTCGAAGCTAGCTCGGTTTCATGTATGTGTAGTTTTTCTCAAAGCAGATCACAGCCCAGCTGGACAACTAGACATGGTAGTCCTGGATAGGCAACATGCCCTTTGGTCCAACAGGGGCTTTCCCCAGTTTCATCATATGCGACCGCAAAGCAGCACACTCTCTCACTTGACTTGGAGCGTTTTCTGCTATCCTGTTTGGTGTAAGGTTATTGGGGGAGAAGCGACCCCCCCGCTCCGGGCTCCTTCCCAGGACTTTGTCCAGTCCCTGGCGCGGAGCTATCGCGAGGTGCAGTGCTTCTCCTTTTCGCGGGGCGGCACAGCGCGGAGATGTGTCGAAGGGGGATCCCAGGGGGGCCAACAGTTTTGTTGGGTTCCCTTTGAGCCAAGCGTACCATCAAGCCCCACAGGGATTTCTAGGAGAACACCCGCGATGGTTGGTGGACATCAACGCTGAGGTCCCAATTAACATGTCATATCCTTGCCCCCCAAGTCGGGAGTCGCCCCACCCACGCCGCCCTTCCATGTGTATACACATACTATACATGGTTTCCCAGGAGCGTGATGAAAATCACTTAAGTCGAGCCACACCACCGCACTGGGCCCGTTCCAAGGCGCCAGAGTACATTGTTCCGGCCTTGGGAGCAACTCAGACAATGCACAACGCAAGCTCAGGCTGAATCGAGAGGCGGGGCCGGGCATGTGCTTGCTCGAAAGCCAAGAAGCGCAGCACGCAGGAGGATGCCACGCCCCAGAGTGAAGAATTCAGCTATCAAACGCATTGACCGCTTTTCCAGGTCTATTCCTTAGAGAGACACTGTGCCTCTGGCAGCATGTTGCCAGTTGTCACGTTGTTTCGTTGTGATATCCAAGCATGTCGGATCCCCAAACCATGGCTGCAGTGCCAGAGTACTGCAAAGTATGCTTTGTGTTCAAGCCAAGTCTGCAGGACAGCAAGTCATTTGCACTGTTCGGGCCTTGTGCAAAGCTTCTTCGCGTTGTCCTCAGCATCTACATGCCGCATGCAGAGCTTGCAGACAGAGATGTTAGTCAAAGCACAGGGAGGCTTAGATGGCCTGTGATCCATGCCTTGGTCGCAGCAAGGGCCAGGAATGCCCACACGACATGGAGCGAAGCAGTACATGCCCTCATGGATGAAGCCTTCAACTTCACGCCATTTCATGGCTGAGCACACTGCATGGCTGTTTCTCCTGGCTTTCAGGTTCCAATGGTTTATTCAGAGGCCCTTTTCGTGTCGACGATCACCCGCAGAATCCTCGCTCAGGCAAGGCCGCCAAAGAGACGCACCTACCAGAGGAGCAAGCAGCTCTTCTGAGTGTTCAGCCCGCATCCCAGGGAGAGTCTCACCCATTCACATACACTAGACTCACGCATGAACTCTTCGGCCTTTTCCTTTTCACGTATAGCATGATGCTGGTCATGAGCCGAGACATGGGACTGTCCTTGTTTATTGGTGGTGGATCATTTCATCTCCAGGTTTGGAGAGGCATTTGGAAGTCTGCGCTTTGCCTGGTCCTTTCTGGGAGACTCAAAGCGAGCGACGGCCTCCCGCACCCCAAGTGACCCAAAGTCATGAGGGGAAGGACATCGACCCACTGCCAGGCGTTCGGGGCTGTGGAACGGATCGTAAAGTGCACTTGGGCACTTTGAGGGCGTGTGTAGCTCTAGGTTCGGGCGAAACGGGGTGTTTGTTGAAGTTGTGGACCTTATATGGTCTGAAAGGAACACCAGAGGGATCCGAAAGCTTGAGACACACTGGTGTCTATCTCAGGCGGCTTTTCGGGTTCGCGAGAGGCGGGGCCAACCAGCCATAGAGTCACTGAGCGCCTGAAGATTGGTTCATGCCTTGGTCGCCATTTTGGGGTCTTTGCCATGGTAGGACCACAGATTCAGAAGCTTTGCACAGGCTGGTGGCTGGTGTCGCTGGCGATTTCCTGCGACGGAACCAGAATTTGGCAGGCCTGAAAGGTCACAATAATTATTGCAATTGCAATTGAAGTTGTACGCAGAAAGGTGTATTGCTGGCTTGCTTTTGTTGCGAGCTGATATCGGCGCACAGTTGCTTAGCCAGCTTGCTACAAGTCCATCGCAAAGCGCTTTGCTGCCCGCCAGCACATTGGAGTGCCATCACAGCTCCCGATCGCTTCTTTTTGTGTTGCTACATCATATGGGTATGGGTCAAAATTAAACCACCAGTTTTGCTCCATGTTTCCATTTACCAGGATTCCATGTTGGGTACATATTTTTGACCCACCGCCACATCTTGGAATAGCCTTTGTTCTTGGTCTCGAGTCAGCTATCCATCGCCCGCCGACCGACCTGCAGGGCCCGGATATGTACTCCATCTGCGGGCCCTTGGCCCAGGAGCTGGCGGTGGCGACTGCAACGGCTCCAGACATGCCATGGGAGTCCATCCAATCACCAGCAGCCTCAAGTCTCGTCTCGGCCATGGGTGCTCGGAACTGAGTACAAAACCTGACAGGATGAACGTCAAACAGCTAAGAGAGGCCAACGACTCATGCGAAGCAAGATGAGTAGAAAATTGAAGCTGTTTCGATCGAAAAGCTTGCATTTGAGTCCCTTGTCCAGATCCCGTTTGCTCTTACTGCGGTCACGGCCACAAACCTGTGATGGTTCCCAAAAGTTCGGGTTTCCGTGATCTCCTAGTCCCACCTACTCGTGCCTGGTTAGTGGCAAGGCTGGAAGTGGCCGCCTTGCTCTTGCTGTCCCTCTACCCGGGCAGGAGGCTTCATGACGTTTCTCCATTCACGGAGCCTTTGCCCCCTTTCACAAGGATGCAAATCCGCAGCGGAAGCCTTGGGTGTTTCTCCCGGCAGAAAACTCCAACGAGGCCCAAAGATTTGGGCTCGTGAGACTTGGGCCATCTTGGGCCCTTCGGGCAGAGGGACTGCCAATGCGGCGACATTCCATGGATTCAGGGTAGCTTCGTTGAAGGGAGCAGTGAGGACGGCACTTTGAAGTCAGCCGCGCGGCCATGGGGCTCCGTGGGCAGGAGCTCCCGTGGCCAATCATCAGACTGTCGGGGGTCTTAGAAGACCAATGGGCCAGGAGCTTGTACCATGATGTGCACTGTTGGTCCGGTGTTTGATGCGGCTGCTGCAGTTTTGATCCCTCAACCTGTTTGAACCACAATCAAAATCCGGGCTAATGAAGCTTTGATGGACCACTTTGATACCAGGTTTTGATTATGGCTTGTTTGGGATGTGGGCCAGTGACTGAACGAAATCAAGGACCCACTCGCCAAGGGCAAACATATTTTCCGATTGGACTGACCTCAAATATTTGAAGTCTGTGACTTGGCGGTGAGATGTTGTGGTCAGTGAGATGAAACAACAGCTGAGGCAGGAAGCGCGTTTGCAACGCCTGCTTTGCGCTGTGTAGCTTCTTCCAGGCAAATGCACTGGATGCTTGGAGACAAGATATGTGTTGTCTATTCCAAAAGGATCCCTCAAGGTCCACGTTTGGACCACGTTTGGACCTTCCACCGCAGTTTTATTGGGATCAAGTTCTAAGAAGTAGACTACAGCTGACCCCTGAGAGAGTTCATTGATTTGTGTGGGTATGTCACCTTTCTCCTTTGAGCGCTTGTAGGCCTTGGTCTTGATGCTGCTGCTGATTGCCCTCCTTGTGCTTCTGGCTCCTATGGTGGTCAACGCGTTTCAGTCTAAGGCCAGGGTTGAGTGGGCGCCCACGCCTGGCCCGGAAAGGGACAAGATAGCCACGATAAGATTGATCTGATCAGCTTTGGATGCTGACTGCAGCTCGTTCTCCCGTGTGGAACCTAGCTGGAACGTGCCTTGCTGAGAACATGACCGCAGCCGCATTCAATCTTCTGACTGTAGAGTGTGCAATAATCTAGAGGCGATGATCCAAGCACCTTCGTGGGAGGTTCTTGTTGCCTTAGACACTGGAACATCGCTGATAGCCGCGGACTTAGTCGAACATCCTGAGGTGGACAGGCTGAATCACTCCAAAAGCATCATTACAGGGGGACTCGCAGAGCCAAGTGGCATGATCTACAAGGAAGTCTTTGGCTTCATTTGTTTCATCAACAACATGCGCCTTGTAGTTCGATCAGCACCTGAGCTTGGATTGCGCTTAGAGATCGCACATGAGAGTCAGAAAGAAGGACTCTTTCACGAGACATCCGAAGAGTGCATTTGTTTGTGACATGATGTTGCTCCCATCATGATCAGCCGCTTTGTGCAAGCTTCGCAGGAACACAGGGAATTGCAACACTGCCCGACCACCATGTCAAATCAGTCGCTCGCTTGACTTGACTGTTCTCAAGTCGATTCAACCGCTGAGAATGAAATGCGTAATAACTTATATAACCTGAGCGAGATATCAAGTCTGAAAGTTCAAGGAGCTGCCAAAACACCCCTTTCTTCCCAGCTTCCATGTAGTACCCCTCTTGCATGCTTTTCGTCCAGCGTGTTTCATGGCCCGACTTCCCCTTTGGAATGGTAAAAGCACCAAGTCAAATTTTTACATACCAGCAGTGCAAGGTAATAATGCACTTTAATGTGATGTTTAAACGTTTTCTGGAATCCTTGATGATGATTGTTGGGGTGCACAGTGTGGTCACACCTATGCATTGGGATATCTGCAGCTTTCATAGAATCCAGGTTGTTCGCTAGTATGACCGTGGAAGTGGAAACAGCTTGAGTGTCCCACTCAGCCCTTCTTGTAAATGTGGGCGTGTCTTACACTAGGGTGCTTTGAGTGTTTGGTTTCCTTTCAGCTTCTTTGTCAAACATCCACTAAAAGGGTACCGTTCACAAAGGCACAGCCGTGCGTTCGTGGCTTTGGCACTGGCGCTCACCTGGCACTTGTTCTTCTTCAGCGCGGCCATTTTGCGAGGGCAGCCTTTCCGGTTTTCTTTCAGAGGGGATCAACAAGAGTAAAAAATGAAGGGGAATCTGCCCCTCTGAAGGCTTGGGCTATGTTTTGTTTGAGGGTACCTTTTCTTTTGAGACGACGGGCCACTGCCCATTTTGAAGCTGCGACCTGGCGCCGAGGTCATCCCGACAGAGAACTTCCAGCAGGTGGCGGACGCCATGTTCGGGCTCCGCCAAGAGCTTGGCGGATCGCCCCACGGCTCGCGTGTGTCGATGGGGCCGCCTGCCGCCTTTTAAAGGGGATACCGAAAAGGTCCCCTGATTTTGACAACTAGGTCCCCAGTAGTGCCCTTTTACCCTTTCTTGGGGGAGGATTCCCTTACTAACATAGACTACAGAAAAAAGGGTACCCTTATTCTAACCTCTCTACTGGAGGACCTAGACAAACTGAACTTGATGATGGATCCTGCAAGCAGCCAGGAAACGAGCATCCACAAAGCAGGTTCAGGATCTGAGCAAAGGCCAATGGGTTTTGCGCACTCTCCTGCTGAGTTCAGAATGTTCACTAGTGTAATAGTGCATGAACCATTCATTCATCGGAGTGCGTGGGGTTTCTGGCAATTGGCTTTCTGTCTTTTGGCAAAAAAAACAAATAGCCGATTCATGCGGCGGTACTTCACCGCATAGTCCGCACTCGGGCTTTGTGCTGTATGCTCACACATCCGCGCGACGTGCTGCTGATGCAGACCGCGAGAGCATCCAAGCGGGTTTCTTTTCTGGCAAACACCTCTCGTAGTTTCAACTTGATGCTTGTTGAGTTTCCTTTTGACGGTTGATGTTGTTTCAGATTGGTTTTCATGTAGGCTGGTTGATGTTGGTTGTGTTCCAGGCTGGCTTGAATTGGGACTTGTAGGTGGTTGGTTGGTTTGGGTTCTGCGTCCCTTAGGTCTGAGAGACAGCTGCGTCCTCTCCAACAGCGAGCTGCCGGAGCCCTGATATCCAGGCCACGGTTGGTCCCCCTCGCAACGCTACCTGGAAGAAGACCAATGATGCAAGACTTGAGCCTTGGGGCCAAATCAGCCCAAATACAGCGACTAAGGCCAAGTGGGTGCGTACGTTGTTTTCAGGGCACCCTTTTCACCCTGGTTGGTGCGGAGCCAAAGGGAAAGCCCAGCCATGTTCGGGGTGCCCGATTTTGACGCATTGCCCAAAGGGCTGTGCTCCCTGATTTGCCCGCACAAGTAGTTGTTTTGAACATATAAATCATAAGAAGGGGTGCCAACTCCCAGCCACACCAAAAATCCGGGGAGTTTCATTGACACCACTTGTTGCACAACAACCTTTATGAAACAGGGAAGGGAAAGGCCGCCCTTCCTAGGACAAAGGTAGTACGATGACATGACCTTGTTTGTCCTCAAACGGCTAGACTTGAAACCAGAAGGCTCTCTACTTTGTGCCAGCAACCCAAGCGCCCCTTCATGTTCCAAAGTGCTGGGCGAGGTCTAATTTGTACTGGAGGCACCCACTCGCCGCTCCATGATTTATTTCCAGCTTGACTGTCATGTGTGCCAATGTGCGCAATTGGACATTGCTGTCGTGAAGGTACTTGGCCAAGGTGACACAAAGATTTGATGTGGATTGTTCACAGGCTTGCTAATGGTTTGGCGGTTCGGGCAGTTTCACATCACGGAAATATAATATGATTGCCCTGTTCATCGCCAGGCCAAGCAAAAAAATCAAACATATTAGCAAGACCGCATAAGGGACCTTTCACGGATGCCCCTAGAAATACAGGTCTTAGTTAGGCCTCACAAAGCTTTGTTTGGGGGAACCCCGTACCAAGGCCTCACAAGGACCCCTCGAGTGGGGTTTGCCCTGGGGGCGCCTTTGGGTTACCAGCCACGCCATGCCGCCGGCTCCGCGACGGTTCCGAGACCCTAGGCTTTGCGCCTGCGAAGTCGCGGCGGAGGCGGGGCCGACGCAAGCTGTCGACGGACGCATTGGGTTCGAGGGCTTTCGGCAGGAAGCTGTTTTCTACAGCTCGGATCTGGGTGTGTGTGTGTGGTTTGTTGCTGGCTTGTGCTTGTGTTCACTTCTGCGCTCAGAAGTTATCCAAGAAACAGCGCCCCTCCACCACATGCCACGCTCAGAACCTGCACCTTCATGCATGGTGGATTCCCTGGTGGATACTGCATGGATCCTGGTGAAACCTTTTGTGGGGCAAGAATCGTCGTGCTACCCTGGAGCATTGATGTGAAAGGGAGGGAATGGACTGGCCGCCGCTTTGGGTCAAGAGCCATGAATCTCAGAGTGGCCTACTGCCACAAGTCTTGGTTGAGCATTTGGTTGGTTCGTTTCAACCAACCCAACAAAAACCACACAGAATGTCATATCATAGGCATCATACCGTAGGCCAAGGCGTTGGACTTTCACTTGGGCGATGTGAGACTGAGCGGTGGTGCCCAGTTGCTCAAAGGTGACGTCGCAGCCATGGGTAGTGAGCTGATCATGGGGCAGTCTCTAAAATTGGACGAGCTTGGACAGATGTTGCTGTGCGTTCTTTCTATTGGGTGCACCTTCCAGGTTCCGCGTTTGAGACTGGACAGGTGTCCCATGGTGTCCCTTGCAGGCCGGAGGTGCTCCCTTTCCGTGTTTTGTTAACACCCCCAAAGAGGAGGAATGTCCACTGTGATATGCACATGCATGTGTGTGTGTGTGTGTGTTTTGATGGATTGTTGATCTCCCCTAGTTTTATTTATGCGACATCAAAGCTGCTTTCAGACATGTTGATGTGAATAATGGAGCTAAGGTCTGCATCCTCTTCAGATGTTTGCGAATGTGAATGTGGCCGCCTCAGCTTCAGTGTGGTCGAGAGAGGCGCGTCGTTTTGCCAACGCTCGCAAATGAGCCTTGGGCGTCGTGTGGCGGAGTCCGGAAAAAGCCAGGCCGGACCAACCGCCTGCCCTCCTTGACTTATCAGAGAGTTCATTGGGGCCGAACTGGCAAACCTTCTTAAACCTGCTCGAAACCACCCTCAGCCCGGCCGAATCCCACTCTGTACCTCCCTAAACCCATACTAAGTGCAACCAACATATGCCTCTACCCCGGTTTATCCTAATTGCCTTAAAGCACACCCTAACCCTACCCCAAAGCCCTCCCCTCCCTTCTCACGACCAGCCGGGACACCTAACAAGTTGCTGGTAGGTTCCTCCAAGCGAAGCAGGCTGACAAACCTTTTTTAGCCACGCGGGTTGTCTCAAAATAGAGGAGCCCCAAAACATGTGGTTTTCTTGGGTTTTCTCTGCAACACCCCAAAAAAGGGTTCGCCTCAAACAAGACACGGCCGCCCTTTGGTCACCTCAAATTTGAATGGCGCGTGGCCGAGGCCGAAATCCTCGGAGATCAGCCTGTCACGACCCCAGGAGAAAGGGGGGGGCTGACATTTGGGGCAGACCCCCCAAGCAGCCGGCAGAAGGCCAGAAAGCCTGTCACCAGCTCAGTTGTGTGCTTTCTGCTTTGAAGGTGCCCGTTTGAAGGTCGGTTGAGAAAACTAAATGGAAACCACACGTTTATGGGGGGTCCTCTGGTTGCGAGCTCTCTTCGGACATCATCCCCCGCGCATGGTTGCAGGTCACCCAGAAAGACAAGTTGCCTTCTCTTCCGGGAAGGACACACTCCAGTCAAATGTTGGCACGGCCGCGCGTCGACTTTGGGGCGGTTGTAAGGACAAGCAGATGAACCCCCTCGTTTAGGCAGATACCGAAATAATTTTGCCACTAAATTTGAGTCCCCCCCCCCCCCCGCTGTCGCTTGTGATTGTCACGGAATGGCGTGTGTTTGCCACGAGGCCTGCCGATCTGGCTTGGCCACGCAAGACCTCCGCTTCTGGATCCTGGGCGACGTCTTTCTGAGGCGACCAGTTGTTGCAAACTCTTGCGGACAGCGAGTCACGCACTCCAAGAGTTGGTGCCAATGGTTCTTTAGAATAGAATAATTATTCTGGACGTGCCAAATTGCAAGGACAACCACCCCCCGGGCATCGGTCGTCGGAGGCAAGCAGTGGTTGTCCACGATCCCCGCGGCAACGTCTCCATCTTTCCGAGGGAGACCTCACGCTCGCCTTTGCCTGTCGGGGCACCCAAGTGCATCTAGTTGTTGTTCTTTCTTTTTTTCTGACAACCTTGCCTCTCATCGGTTTCTTCATATGCTTGGCTCTGCTTTTTGTGGGAGCCTCGAGTAAGTTGGATGGATTTGGAAGGGGATTTGGAAAGTGGCTATCGGCCAGCAAGCAGAGTAGATAGCTTCAATAGCAAGAGTACATGTCAAGCAAGCAATCAGCTAGACGGTAGCAATCATCAAGGAAGCAAACGCTTTGCTTAGGGTTGGTACATGCTTGACCACCATGATAAGGCTTCTTACTTCGGGAACCCTGGCCATGGCCCACATTGAGGAGTTTTAGCCATGGCGACTTTGCCCTCACCCGCAGAATTCCTGCGGCCAAATGGAAGCTGTCAGCCTCGTCATTGAGAATCCACTGCAAATTTCAAAGGCGCTTGCTAGTCATAGTTTGATGTCATGGCTGCAGCATGGCCCAAGGGAGGCAGGATGACTATCCCATTGGCTCTTTCAGACCGGCAAAATGACTCGCTGCATGCCAGACTCCCAAACAAATGAGCGCAACCTGAAGCTTCAGATTCTTGCCCTCAGCCCCAGGATGCAAAAACTCAAGGGGTTAGTAGTTAGCTGCTTGGCCCATTGCTTGATCCGTGTTTAGTAGTTTTGGGTTGCCAAATGTCTGCTTACCTTGTAAAAGTCGGTCAGCTCCGCGGGGCGTCCGCTCCATGCGAGTCCTGCGCTCTGAGCCCAAAGAGAAGCGCTGCGCTGTCCGGCGCTGGCCCTCGGCGACAGGCCGAGGCCTGGAACCGGAAATGGGGCCGCACGGCGTCGACGCTTTGGAGCTACTTTGATTTGCACAAGTTGGTTTCAGGTCCTTTTGAAAAGTGGGGCTAAAGGTAGACAGTCACGATTCTCCTCGGACCCAACCCCAACCAAACCCGGGGCCTTTCTTGCAACAACTTCTCTCCGAACGCAGGCCTCCGCATCCTCATCTATGGGGACAGCTTGACGGCTGGGGCGCCCAGCATGGTGCCCTTCGCCCAGGAGCTGCACCGAGCGCTCGAAGGCGGCGCCGGCGCCGAAAGCTGCGAGGTGGAGACCACGGCCTGCGGGCTCTGCGCCTCTACGGCGCTGCAGATGCTGGCGGTGCTGGAGGAGTTGGGCTAAAACGTGGCCATGTTTTGGCAAAATTGGCTGCAACACTGTGGTAAGGAGTTCTGTAAAACATGGCAAGAAGGTGGAGGTTTGAGCCAGTTCTGTGGGAAGGCCCATTTTGTTTTGGTTCAGGAGCCCAACCATGATTACAGTTGATATGATCCGCTCCCGCCGGTCAAGGTCATGGAGAGATAGCTTTCGGAGAATCCCTTTTGCCACCTTTTGTGGTCCTCTCCGGTCCTTTCTGGACTTCTCCTTTGTCCCTCTAGACTTCTCGTGCGGGATTTCCGCTGTTAGGTCAATGGATGTCAATGGAACTGCGATAGCGGCAAAGGGAACATTTGTCATATGTCAAACAGTTTTGGGAGGGGGAGCTGGGCTAGGTAACCGGTGCCACGGAACTGCGGCCAAGATTTCTACGAATTGGCCGATCGCGTGATATCGCGAGCCATTTCATCAATTGCCGTCAGAGCTTCGACTGACGGATCTGCGGAGCCCTTTTCCTACTTTTTTTTTTTTTACGATTTGACGAGGAACGGATCCACAACTTCGAGCAACCCTTTGCAGAAGACCTTTGCAGAGCCTTATTTTCGCGATGGGTTCCGTGGTATGGCCATCCAACCCCGCTCCCATGTCTTTCTCAATATGTGTTCGGTAGAAAGGGACATGATGAAGCAGGAGGGTTGTGTATTGCTGGGGGCCTGTGCAGCGGAACCCCCTCAGAGATTGTCCAGACTTGAAAAGTAAAGTAGACTGAAGTAAGATACTTGCTGTGTCTGGCCATACACAAATGTTTTTACATATGATTGTTTTGTTTTTTCATATCAACAATAGTACTAGCAATAGTAATCAATAGCAATAGTAACAGTAATCGTACAATAGTAGTAGTAGTAGTAGTAGTAGTAGTAGTAGTAGTAGTCGTAGTCGTAGTCGTAGTCGTAGTCGTAGTCGTAGTCGTAGCCGCAGTCGTAGTCGTAGGCGCAGTACTAGCGCCAGTACTAGCGCCAGTACTAGTGCTAGTACTAGTGCTAGTGCTAGTGCTAGTACTAGAAGTAGTACTAGCAGTAGGATTAGTATGACCATTAGTAGTAGTATTGGTTAGTAGTAGTAGTAGTAGTAGTAGTAGAATGAATGAATGAATGAATGAATGAATGAATGAATGAATGAATGAATGAATGAATGAATGAATGAATGAATGAATTAATGAATGAGTGAAGGAATGAAGGAAAGAAGGAAGGAATGAAGGAATGAAGGAACGAAGGAATGAAGGAATTCAGGAATGAAGGAATTCAGGAATTCAGGAATTCAGGAATGAAGGAATGAAGGAAGGAAGGAATGAAGGAATGAATGAATGAATGAATGAATGAATGAATGAATGAATGAATGAAATGAATGAATGAAGGAAGGAAGGAAGGAAGGAAGGAAGGAAGGAAGGAATGGATGAAGGACTGAATGAGATGGATGGATGTATGGATGGATGAATGGATGAATGAATATATGAATGACATCCTATATACATAGCAATAAAACCAATATGTGTAATAATACCAATATCAATAACAATGATATTCACATTAATATTAAGAATAATAATACATAGTAATAGTAATAACAACTAATAATAATCGTAACAATAATGCTAAACATGACAATAAAAAATACTAACACTGTTGATTGATTAATTAGTCAATAGTATAGCGAACTAAGCAATAACGGCAATCATGACAAGTAATGATCTTAACCATGATAAATCTGATACTATTAATAATAGTTCTAGTGATACTACCAACAATAGTCTTGATATTTAATGCACACGTTAGCAAGCTTTGGAATAAGTTTGGAGCAAATGTTGGCAAGTACTTCGCAGAACACCGGCAATAGTATTGGCAATAGCTTTGGCAGTTCTTTTTTGTATAGGGTTGGAGAGTAAGTTGGAGAGGCGTGTCTTTAAGAGGGGTTCGGGCGGGTGGCCAAAATGGATAAGGGGCCGCCGGAGGAGCCCTATGTGGTAGATGCTCTTGGTGGCAGCTGGGGCTCAGGGCTTGTCCATCTGGCTAAAGAGGCGAGCTTAGCGATCATCATGGCTGGCACCAATGATCTGGCCTCGCCTGCGCCGGCCGGCGACGTTTCAAAGGCCATACAGGGAATGCTTCCGATCTGAACTTGGCAGACCGTTTTTTTTTTTTTTTTTTTTTTTTTTTTTTTTTTCCGCGCGTCGCGTTTGGAGTTCCTATCATTCCAACCTAGCGTGGTAGATGCTTGCATGGCTTCTGAGGGCAGAAAAGGCATGTGGCTTGCCATCGCGTCGGAGTACCTACGGTGGCTTTAGGTGTTCCAGATGCTGGTGGTCGGTTCATTCGGCGACTTGGGCAGGCACTGCCCACCAAGCGCCGTGCTGTGAACGCAGCGCTGGCAGTATGGGCACGGGAGGGATTCGAAGATGGGACGCGCCCAGAACTCTTCATCAACACGTCAGCCCTACTGCCTCACGGTCCCAGGAGCAGACACACCGCCTCAGTTAGCAAGTTGTCACCAAAGATGCTGCTTTCTGATCAAGTTTTTGCAGCACCTTTGAAGCAGCGTTCTGTGGGACCCTGTCTCGTGTTGCTGCTAAGGCAAATTGTGCGTTGCGGTTCACAACAACCGGTGATTAATGATTTTATCATTTTGCTCACCGAAACCTGAATGAGCACAATAACAGCAGCTAAAGAACATTTAGCACCCAAGCTGCATGGATTGTTTGACACCCAACATTTCTTGCAAGATTTCAAGCTAATCGGAGGACGCGCCGGGCACTGGGAGCGCGACGGCGTCCACTTCACCGCGCAAGGCGCGGAAGCTTTGGGCGCGCGCCTGGCGCGGATTCTGCGGCCGCTGGTTCAAAGGCGGGACGCTGAAGCTTTGGGCAGGTTCCAAGGAACCCGCGGGTAGGGCTCTTAAAATTCATGTTCTGGCAGGTGTGGCATTTAAGGCTGTTGGGTTGTTTGTTGCGGATGGTTTGCTGTCAGGGGTAATGGGGAAGTTGGATGGCTGGGAATAGCTGGCAAGGCTTTTTGGAGGAACACATGCTGGTTGCAAACAAAAAGAAGCTGACTGTGATTCGTTTGTGAAGCAGGGCGGAGCACAGGCCCTGCCCTGGCTGGCTGCGGCAGCAAACGCCATGGTGGTGTGGTTGGCTACCAGCAAAGCGGAAATCCTTGCTGGCCAATGGCAAGGCAGCGAGCAGGCCTTCAGCAGATGACATGTTTATCAGTTTATCGTTGCAATGACAGTTGCTGGTCCCCGTAGGCTAGAAGCGGACGCCTTGGTCAAGACCGCCGCTGACGGGCCCATCCCATCTCTTGATGCTTTCCTGGAGGCGTTGGATTTGGACGAGGTGGGCCACTGCCGACGGACCCCAGCTGCAGAAACCTCTGACTTCAGAAAGAGGATGCCTGTTGAACCCTTTTGCGACCCCCTGACAAAAGTTCAAGTCAACGGCAGGGTCTGAAATTGGGACGGTTCCTCTTTGAACAGCCCTGCATGTACGTATTTTGACCAACCATCACTCAAACACAGCCATTCTGAGCCAAAGCGACTAGAACACGACTGACTTAGAAGCAACCACATCTTTCAGGCTGAGCCGGCAGAGCCCGAAGCCTACTGCATGGACCTTGCGGGAGAAGCGGCTGAGACCATTCAGTCCTACTTCAGATTGCGCAAGCTTGAAAAAGGTTCGCCTGTGCGCGGAGAGTGCACACGCACGGTTCCGACAGGCAAGTCATTAATCCTGCTGTTTGCTTTTCTCATGCCGTGGTAGGTCGCGCGGGACTTGATGAGTCGAAGAACATTCCCCCCCTTTTTGCGTGTATATCCTTCCGCCACCCCTACATCCACCCCCTTAGGGCCCGAAAATGCGGGGATGCCCAGGTGACAACAGCGGCAGTGCCAGCAAGCACTTGGACACCAGTGCTTCTCATGCTGAGCTCTCAACCACGCGCGTGACTTCTGGGAAGGCAAGTGCAAGATGATTGTGCTCTCAAACATTTCAGATGGGCCACACAGAGGCAAGACTTGCATATGCTATTTTCCTGAAGCAATGATCCTGAGGCAGTCTTCAACATGTTTCAAACTGTCGCAGATACTAGCTTTGTTTATTCTAGATCGTTTCTGCTTGAGGCGCTGGGGATGGATTCACTTCACTAGTTTCTCCGGTTTTCCTCCATCAGCAGGCTGATGGATCACGCAAGGCCTGTTTGCTCCTGCGCCTATCAGCTCAACGATACTTGCCCCGAAGCCGAGGCTAGCGCTGCCTCTGGCCGCTGCAAGGCTGGATGCAAGGTTCTTGTCTCAGACCAAATCTGCCCCGTGCCGGTAGAACATGGCGAGATGAACAGAAGTAAGAGGCTCCTTTGATTCAGATGAATGATTTGAAGCGATAGTTGCTACTTGAGCGGACAGCACTGTGTTTGAGCTCCTTTTGAATTGGATGTTGACAGCCGTGATCAATCTTTCCTCAGGGAACCTACTGTAACAGAGGAGCATCATGCAGAAAAAGCCTTCTGGACAGTGTGCAAGTTTGAGAGGAATCACCCTTCGCCCAAATATGTTGAATGCCTGACCCATGTCGATGAGGTGTTGGCCGAGTTAGCACACCCCACGCCCCGGCAAGCATTGAATTGCTCAGAGGAAAGACTGTAGTCTGCGCAAAGGGTTGATGCTCTTTTCTTGTACTATGTGGGAAACCAACGCACGCTGATCCAGGCTTTGCATGCTTGCGGTTGGGGGGGGCTTTTTGGGGGAGCAGGGCCAGGACAACGGGTCTCTGTGCAGCGCTTTCTCCAATCGGTCACTCCCATCTTCCAGGTCGCGGGAGGACGGCCCGGGTCCTCGGTTTTGCCGCGGTCTGGGAAAAGACTTCGGGTCCCAAGCGTCGAGTCGCGGCTTCAATTTCCCGCGCCTGGCCAAGTTTCTTGGCTGGCATCACTAGCTAAGTGCAGACGGACAGGCTCCATTGCTCAAATGATAAGGCTTCCTTTTCATATGTTTGTTCAGAGGCCGAGGCGTGCATTCCAATACTACATGTGTGAGACTCGTCACGGCCTTTTGTCTCTTGTAGAGGGCAGGGAGGATGGTGTGAAAGAAAGGGAAAGACCAGATTTGTTTCACTTTCAGCTTGACAGGCTTCAAGGGATACTGCACTTATAGCTACCTGCGTCGCCTCACCTGCACCTGACAGTAGGTATATGTCCGAGCGCTCAGCCACAGCTGCCTTTCACTGTGAGGGCTTGAGAACGCCTTTTTACTCGTTGCAGGAGCACAGGCCGTTCTTCTTGTTCGCAAACTCATGCCCGTGCCGCGTATGCTTTCGGCATACTTCCAGGGTCTTGCTGCACGTCGCCGAGGCGAGCTGGAGCAGAGGCTGTTGGCAACCTGAGGAAAATATGCGATAGTGCGGCTGAACGGCTGGCAGGTCCGGCCTAGGGCATGTTTGATGCATTGACGGTGACGCAGGTGTTCCTTCAATCTATCAAACATGTCATGTTGTCAAGGGGCGTCTCAAAAGATTGCCGCCTTGTTCTTCCTAAGATCATTTTTGTTGCTTTTGGTTCTGGTCAAAGCAGATCCAACAATATTTCCGTTCGACACCCCCCGCCACTGTCTTACATTGCTTGCCCAACACCCGCTCAAGCTTGGGGCGGTGGGATTACACTTACAAACAACGCATGGTGTAGAAGATGTGAGGCCAATATTTCTAGAGTGTATGAAAGCTAGATTTAAAGCTTTTTGCCGCCATCACCTCGTACTGTACCTCCTTGAATCAAATTACACTGCCCTTGGTCTGCCCTTGTCCTTCAATAGCCGCCAGCGAAGTCATGCAGTGTCAAGGGCCGGCGCCAAAAGTCAGTTGGCATGGGTTGGTTGAAAGCAACAAAAGGAAAGCCACCCATTTCGGCGTCCAAATCCAGCTTTTGAGACACCTTTTTTGCCTGAGTCTTCGGATTTTGAGCGGGAGTTTGCCGTGCGCCGTGTTGGCTCGAGAAGAGAATGCAAATGCAATCTTCAGGTTAAGTACCGGAGGCCGGGCTGCAGGGTTTCCTGGCCGGAAGAGGGGGAACTCTGGCATAGATTCCAGGTGCACTCATATCTGAGCAAGCCTGGTGGGCGCATGTTGGCGCACTGATTGTTGTCTGGCACGGAACATGGAACTAGTTGTTGTGACTCCTTGCCAATCATCCAATCAATAGCTTAATAGCCTTTGCACAGAGGTTCCTGATCTTCTCATCACCGGAGCCCTGGATTGTTTTAATATTTCAGCGGGGTATCGCATGCCCATGGATGCGTGCGTCCCCGTTTCAGCCTGAGGCTTTGTGTCAGTCCGTGGCATGAGATTCGCCAGGCCTCAGGCGTGATGCCTGATGAGGGTGAGCCGTGCCCCGAGTCAGCTCTGGGGCAGTTGCCAGTCTGACACCTTTACACATATGGTATATCTGTCCTCTATGTGACTGGAACCCTGTCACAGACATGCCATAAGAAGCAAAACACGGCTGGAACCCTGTCACAAACATACCATACAAAAAGCAGAAAGCAACAAGCTGAAGGTCTGTGTTTGGAAGTCCCTTCAATACGTTACGGCGGTGCCGTTCGCGCTTCTTCGAGGCCTCCAGTGGAGTGGGTCTTTGAAGTAGAAGACGGCCAAGCCGAGGAGGCTCGCTCGAGCAGCGGATAGCCGCGGCGATTTGTCGAACCCTGCGGTTTTTGGGCTCAATATTGTGAGACGTGGTTTCACACAGCAATTAAGTTTCTCTGGGTCTTATTACTTGTTGTTTTTCAAGAGGGAGCACACTTGCAGACGGAGTTTGACCTTTACGTTCGGACGGCGCCATTCAACACATGCACCTCTGTGAAACCCAAGGCCTTTTTCATAGAGAAAGCCCTGAAAGAACAAAACACGCTAAGATCACTTAATTTCAATTGATTAGGATAATGTGAAGGGAGTTAGGCTTGAGACGTCGAGTGTCGACAGGACAAGTATGAAACTGCTTGGCGATTTGAAATTTCGCGGGATACGAGACTTGCAGGAGTCTTGAATCCCTTTGATGAAGATATCTCAAAACATACTTGTATTGCTCATCCTTTCACAGAGGGTGGAATCTGGCAATTGTGCAGCAAGGTGTTGTTTCTTGATGTTTCTGGCCCTGGGAATCCTTGCTAGAATGTACGTTCTAGTTCCGTCTCTGTCAACATGCTAGACATTGCTAGCTCAGCTGACTGCGTTTCATCTCTATAGATCAAAGCGTTGCCTCGACCTTATCCACTGGTGGTGCTCGCCATAAAATCAATTATTGCGGATTTTGGTTAAACACATGATACATATATTACATGATGTATGTTCATATACTTCTATAATATAAATGTAGACATGTAACACGCGGCGGTACACGCATTTTCGAGCCAAATCAGCTGCGTAGAACCAGCCCCGTCCGGAAGAAAATGAGGCGGGGGAGGCTGAACATTGCAATCGGGGATTCAGAAAGCAAGCAAGTGGGGACTGTCCAAAAATCGATGACCGTTTCAAAGCCTGTTGTTTGTTAGCTTGTGCCATGGAACTGGGTTCCCAAATGGCTCAACCCAACCGCGAAGCCCGAGGTACTACATCCACCTCCTTCAGGGCCTTCCAACAGCTGGCTGCCCGGGCGCCAAGCTGGGTCAAAGGCTGTCCTGGCTGCAGGATGGCGGGGACATGTCGGTATGTGCCAGCATAGTGCGCCCCCCCCCCCCTGCAAAAAGAACGGTTGTAGTGTTGCTTTAACCAACCAACAACCGGGTACCCTCCAAAACACATGCGCACACGCGCACGTATTGTGATTGTGTCTTGAGAGAGGGGTCGGTTCCTCCCTTCAGCAGGAGGCATCCTTTGCCATTGCAGGGGTGAGGATCAAGCAAAGCATGTGGGAGTCGTTCTAAAGGTCCTTGTAAAGAGTCTAGTATTCGGTGACCATCGGTGTTGGTTGAGGTAGCTCCGCGAAAGATTCGCGATGGAGTTGCGAAAGTAACTTTTTTTCTCGCGAAAGTTTTGCGTAACTGTGTCTTGTAAATCAATGATATGTAAAACCATTAATCTTTGCTGCTGAGCCTTCCTTCTGCGCTGATTACAACACTTTGTTGATTTTGCGCCGAAAAAGCCTGGTGAGGCTACAGTTTGATACCCTGCTTGGCTGGTTAGTGCCCCAAGCCTGTGTATGCGTGCCTGTGGGTGTTTACTCGTCGCCTTTCCGCTCTGAAACGTGGGTGGTTTTTCGCGAAAGTTCCGTGAAAGATCCGCGAAAGCTCCCGCGAAAGCGGCTTCGATTGTAAGGGGGAGGTACTTTCTGAGCGCCGCGCTTGTCAGTATACCAGCTTGGTACTGGAAAGTTGCGATTTTAAGCTGGAGCTGCACGGCTTACGAAAAGCTGCGTCTTTCCAGCCCGTGCGTGTCATGTACTACCCCTGTGATGAAAGTTGCGACTTTACAGCCGGAGTTGGGGAATCGAATTTCGCGCGCTACGCTGGCACTTAAAATCAGCGATTTTCTGACTTGAGCAAGGAAAGCAGCGATTTTCTGATTCGCGAAAGTAACTTTTTTATTCGCGAAGAATGGCTGTTTTGAGACAAAGGAATTTAGAACAACCACCATGTCCAGGCAGGATGCCAATCCTGCTTCTTTCATATATGTTTTAGGTTCTAG